AAATAGCAAACGACTGTTCTCAAACCAAAAAAAAACTGGACCACCTTTTCAAAAAACACCAAAAACCGATTGATAAACTGTTAATTAAGCAATTTGCGATTTGCGTGTGCGCCGCAAGCAACTGCTCAAACACTCTTGGCCAAATTGGCGGTTTCAACCGGACACAAAACAACAAATTAAAAGCAAAAGGGGCATCACAAAAGTAGGCCCGGTGGAAACACCATAATTTCTGATCAAAGTAGGCTGTGACTAATATATCAAACGTAATATATCACTCTTTACTTCGTTGCTTATTTTCTTTTTACTTAATTTTATTCATTTTCTGTCTCAATTTTTTTCGTCGGTAAAGTGAATCCGTAATAGTTGGTAAAGTGTTCATGTTGTGTAACCACAATTTTTACATCTCCAGAAATTGCAGCGAAAGAGACAACATAAAAAGTAAAAACGCTCAGGCACAAAAAAAAATTTGTGACGTAAAAATATTTATAGAATTAAAAATTAAGAAGAATTAAACAGATACACGTTAGCAATAGGATTATGCCTTTATCTCATGCTTCATGTTAAGAAAATGTTTTAACAACACGGTTATTAAACACAAAATTGTTGTATAACTTTAGTGACAATTTTAGAGTCTTTACTGACAATTTTAGGCAACTGATAAACACTTCAGTGTTGGATAATAAATAACTTATTGTCACACTCCAAAAAATCCTTTTTTTAACATTTCTGTTTGCGATATAATTTAAGTCTTAACTTAAAAATAGGTTCTGTTATTAACCAAGCCAAGAAACAAAATCCGATTTTAGCTTAAAAATATTTTGTTTTCATAAAATCACAGACAAATTTCTATTGTAGTATTAATACCTTATATTTTTCTTACAAAATAGCTAAAACACTCCAATTCAAACCCGATTTCGAAATGTTTGTGATCAAAAAGACTGAGCAGTCTTTGCTCTCGATTGACTTTTTGTGTTGCGAGGGCCCAATTTGGGCGTTTCGTGGTTCAGCGTGTGCAGCTTTCCCCTACATTATTAATGATATGGTTCGACAAAAAGCAAAAATTCTTCGTTAATAGCTTTATTGCAACAACAGCAATCTTTCATGGTTGGTGCTCTCTTCAACGTTTTTTCATTAATTATTTGTTCAGTAATAAATTCGTTTTATAATTGTTGGAGTTGTTCGAAATGGACAAAGAACTTTTCACGGTGCATTATTCCTCTGGTTAATTAAAACGAAAATCCGTAATAAATCATTAGTGATTTTTCCTCGACCACGTGGTCTTGGAAATGCTTTTACAGACCATTAATCACGAGATAATGAGAAAGTGTGAAACTGATTTAAATAATGCTCGATGCAGTGAGGGTTTTTCCTATCAGTTTTGATCATCTCTTGCTTCGGAAAAAATTAGAATGCGGAACAAGTGCTTTTATGACAGGCAATTAAATGCAGCAAGGGTTCGCGATGATAAAGAGTTGTTTTTTCAGTCATTGCGTGTTACACATGTCTGAAAAGTGACGTTCGCGTGTGTTGGCGATCAGTTACTCAATCGGATCACGATTTGAATCTCGGCATCGCTGAAAAAACTGACACAAATACTCGGTGTGTTTTTACGACATGGGCTTATCTAGTGGTACATGTATACATGGTAGTTAAAAGTGAAATTACCCGTTTATGTAAGATGCAAAAATGAGATGAAAAAACGAAGCGATCGCTTGATTTATTAGGGATCTCGAGTGCTTTCACCGCATTGGACGTTAATTAAAATCCGCGGATGTCATTGGATGGTTAAGGAGGACAAGTGAAGACCGGTGGGGTTTCGGTAATGGCTTTATAATGGCATGTGGATTTTTCTCAATGTTACACATACCGGAGCCCCGGATTTCGTCTAAATAAGGAGTGAAACTTAATTGACATCGAACGCCCACGTCTTGCAACAACTCGCTCTATTTCTATTCCTCGAATACCGCAATTACAAATCAATCCACGTCCGATAATTAAAATCCGGTCGCTGCTGCAAAAACTCGAGCAAATCATCGAACATTACCATAAACATGCACGAGCCGTTCTGGGTGGCGGTCGTCTTTTTCTCCCATCAGTAGCTAGAAGAGGGAAAAACGATCGCAGATAAAATTGATACCGGTACTCGTCGATGACTATCGACTAATTAAAATTCAAATAAAATTATCCGACACAAAGTACTACGAGCAGGAATTACGACATTTTCATGACGGGTTTCAGCGCTACACACATTCTTATAGTGTATAGAGATGTCCTGTCGCTGATAATTGTAGAACTCGTTGCCAACGACTACAACCTGAAAAACGTCAAATATCCAAGAGCGATTGCCATGCTTTTATAAATCATCCGGAGATTGCTCAACTTTTCTCGAGGTGCACGTTCGAGGGCGAATTCACCATTTGCGAAACATCATTAGCGGAAATTTGCCAATCGAGTACGCAAAACGACCATTCCACCACGAGAATCGCCCCACTTTTAGGAGATTTCAGTTCAAACAAAAATTATTAGGCTTGTGAATTAACAAACAAGGTTTTTTTTTATTTTCTAAGTGAAATTTTCAAATTTCTTTTTTTTCTCACAACTGTCTTTCAGTTTTAGGTAGGAAAGTAGAAGAATTTTTTAATTGTCTTTAAACAATGTTTTTTTTTAAAGAAAGCATAAAATTTAAAACAAGAATCATCTAGATTCTCAATCATATCGACTCTCCTAACGAAAACTATAGTAACTCATAAAAATTGATTTTGAGTTACAACGGCTTATGTAGGGCTCAAATTACAAGAACAATAAGAAAAATGTTCTTTGAATAAACAATATTATAACCAAAACTTAGACCCTCAGCAATTTTCAATAATATTAAACAGTTCCTTGACATTTTATTAACAATCAAAGATTCAATGCAATTTTCCTTGAGAGAGTCCATATATTAAGAAAAAGTGCTATTCCTATAAAAAAAAACATTGTTTAAAGATAATTAAAAATTCTTGTACTTTCCTACCTAAATCTGAAAGACAGTTGTGAGTAAGGAAAAAGAAATTTTAATTTTAAAATTTAATTCAAAAATCATCTAAAGTTTCAAGAGGAATCTAAAAATCATTTAAAGCAAGTCGTATAGGCACGAGAAGTTAGAACTAGATTATAAAATATACAGTATGTCCCCGGATTGAGTTTACAAGAGAAAAAAAAACTGCAAAGGAAAAACATTTTTTGCTGAAACGAGCAAATCTGTAATTAAAACTTTATTATTCTAAGTCAGTAGAAAGAAAAGTTCATTTTTTTCTTGATTTTTTTTGACAAATGAGTTTACGCAAGTTAAATAACAAAAATGTGAAAACACAATTTTAATAAATAGCAACGCAAAGAAACAGCTTTAAGATAAAAACCAAAGTCATTTTTAACAAGAACTATCAATAAATTAATTGTCTAGTCGAAAATCAAAATAAAAATTAACTTTTCTTTTCACAGAATCATAACAATGAAATTCTTATAGATTTGCTCGTTTTAGGTGAAGCAAAAAATGTTTTTCTTTTGCAGTTTTGGCGTAAAATCAAAGATAAAAATTTTTTTCTTCTTGGAAACTCAATCCGGGGACATACTGTAGAATCGGTAATAGCTATTTGCGTATTACAAGGAAGGAAAATGTATCTTTTTTTCGCACAGTTGGGTGTAATACATGGTGTAATTCCAGTGTAAAACATTGTATGTAAAATCTTTACCTACCTGAGAAATAATTAGCCACTTTCATTTCTGAAATTAGGGTGTAAAACTTACTTTTTTTACTTTATTTTTTAAAATGTTGTAACAAATATTCTCATGTATGAAAAAAAATTAGCAACTAAACAACAAAAACAAAAAAATATTACAATCATTAAAAATTCGGTAAGTAGGATCTTTTTTTGTTCATTTGTTGACAAATTCGAAAAAATCTTGTGGAAGTGAGAAATAAATCATGAGTAAATCAAGGGAAATCATTGAAATTTGTGCAAAATAGAGATTTTTTTGTTTATTTGTTGACAAAATATTGGAAATTTTGAGAAATCTTGAGAAAATCAAGAGAAACAGAGGAAATAGTGAGTAAATTAGTGTAATCTGGAGAAATCATGAGAAAATTAGGGAGAATCATGGAAAATCATGAAGAAATTAGAGAAAATAATTAAAATTTCCACAAATAAGATCTTTTTTTGTTCATTTTTTGCAAATTTGAGGAAATCTTGAGGAAAGTAGGAGATATTAATGACATTTTGAGGAAATCGAGGGAAATCATTAAAAGTTGCGCATGCACAAGTAGAGTCTTTTTTTGTTCATTGGTTGGCAAATTATGTAAAATCTTGGAGAAATTGGGACATGAGAGGAAATCATGACGAAATTTGGGAAAATTGGGGAAAGTGAGTTTTTCTTTGCAGTTTTGGCATAAAATCAAAGATAAAAATAATTTCCTCTTGTAAATTCAATCCGGGTATATACTGTAGAATCGGTAATAGTTATTTACGTATTAGAAGGGAAGAAAATGTATCTTTTTTTCGCACAGTTGGGTGTAATATATGGTGTAATTCCAGTGTAAAACACTTTATGTAAAATTTGTACCTTCCTGAAAGGTAATTAGGCCACTTTCCTTTCTGAAATTAGGGTGGAAAAACTTACTTTTCGTAGGAAAAACAACAACATCAATCAAATATTTTGTCTCAATCCTAGTTTTTTCCACGCTTTCACGTGTCGCCCACAATTTCGCGTTTTTATAGCCCAGCCTGGTCCACTTGAGCCCCCGAGTTCATTAAGGGCCGTAAACCGCAATCGTAAACCGTCCGATCGAAAGTGGGCCACATAAACGTTTCAATTATAAACAACCGTTTCGAGTCAATATCCACTCATCTTTATAATAATGATTATTGATGGTGATTGGATCTGGGTATTAATCGAAGCGCGCAAGCAAATTAAAGTCATCAAGGGACGTAAATTCTAATCGATCGCATTTTCTTTCCTTGCAGATTTCTCCCGACGATGCCTAATTAAACCAAGCTGAAAGAAGAATCTGTGATAATGGATATGACCGAAACGTTCCCTCGCGAGGATATAACGAAAACTGACTTCTTCGACTTCGTGGTGACGCCGGACTCGAACGATACGCATTCCCTCCAGCAGTTCACTAAGCAGATGAGGACTGTAAACGCCTTTTTGGGGAATGCGAGTCCGGAAGCAAGCAATAAAGAAACGAACAATAACATGTTGACGGAAATGAATCACGTGCCTACCACCGAGAGTGGCAACTTTGATTCGAATTTCTGGAGTGATAAAGAGACGGTTAGATTAGAAACGGCGATTTTAGAAGATTTGAACAAGTATTGTTGGAGTGGTGAGGAGGGAAATGGGGTGGCGAGTAGTCAAAAGACGAACACAGACGGACAGATTTATACCTTGACAGTATTAAACGGGATCGACCAGAATGCCACGTGGTATCGGCCGCCCCTTTCCTCCATCGGGATCGTCAAGGAGGAGGATGTGAGCATGTCGAGTCCCGCGTCTATGGAGCACCTCCAAGCCGGCCTCGACATCGACTCGATCCTGAGCATAATCCCGGGCCAAATGAACGGGTTTAACAACAATTACAACGAAAGTACAATGAGTCCGAACACAGACGGTTTAATCAAATCGGAAACCTACACCTACGAAGACAGCGGCTTCGCCGACAATAAAGACGAACTAGCCAATTCCCTCATAATAGATACGCCCCTTCTCGAGGCGCACGATAGTTTTAATAATAACAATAACGATTGGAAGTTAAGTAATAATAACACTAATAACGGTTCGCCGGATTCTTTGTTACGTAGCGCTTTGCAAGGTAAAGCTTTCGTACGTTATAATGGAGCAGTGAAGACGAACAAAGTCGAGAATAACACTGAATTGAGACGAGTGTTGTCGACGCCGCCAGCCAAAACCGAAGGCATCTACATCAAAGAAGAACAACAGGAACATATACCCACGATAGTGGCAGGAATTGACGCTAACGGTAAAGTCGTCTTCGAGGAGCATCTACCGCAACGGACGGAGGAAAATAACCCCACGGGAGGGCACAATGTCGATGATTTGCTACTCTCGCAGCTAGATCAGAGCTTTCCAGAGGATTTCGAGAAGCTGAAACGGATCGCCAACGAGGTAAATATATCTCACACCAAACAAAAAAGATATCCTTTAAATAAACGATAAAGAAAAAATACGAAAACTATTTAAAAAAACTTTAAAAATTATAAAATATTCTTTTTCGAGTAAAATTGTTAAAAAACCTAAGTTGTCAGCAAAAAATTATTCTTATTAGAAATTACACCTTGCAAGAAATAATGAATTAAATTTAAAAAAATGAAATCTTTAGGTCAGGTAATTTGCGAAAATTTTTTTCGCACAATGGGACTGCGAAGAAACTCCTGAGTATGTAAACAAATCCAAAAAAAAAAACTTTATCTTAATAATGTAAACAAAGGTTCTCAGGCCTGAAAAAAAATTAAACAATTCAATTGATTAGTAGTTTTTTTTTATTATTTGAGCTTCTTCTTTTTTCTAATTTAAAATTTATTCTTTTTGCTTTTCCTCATATTTTTCTCTTGTGTGCGTAATTTACACTTATTGTTGTGTTTGCATAAACCAAAATAAAACCTTTATTTACAAACACAACAAAAGAAAAGAAGTATTGTAAGTTGATAATGTTTACGACCTGAAATACAAGAAAAAAATATCAATGCGGCAAAAAGACATGAATATAAACTTTTTTTTTTGAAAGGCAGAACTGTAATAAAATAAACTTGTATCAGAATAAAAAAGGAATTCTTCTAATAAATTATGAGGAAGACAAAAAAATTGTTGAAAACTTAAATTCCAAAAAAAAAAATTATAAGCTGTTGTATCAAAGATACAGTCAAAAATTATCTAAATTACGACTTATTGTAAACAACTTTCTGCTCTTAAATTGTTAAATACTCTCCTGTATTGCAAAAATAAAAAGATTGAAAAAGGTTTTAACGAATAAAATTTATGTTAATAAAATTTACACAAACTAAACAAGAAAAACATTAAAAATCCGGCAAGTAGGATTTTTTTGTTTATTTGTTGGCAAATTCGAGAAAATCTTGTAGAAATCAGGGGTAATCATGAGGAAATCCAGGGAAATCATTTAAATTTGAGCAAAATAGAGATTTATTTTATTGACAAAATATTGGAAATTTTAAGAAATCGTATGAAAATCAGAGGGAATCATAGAAAATCTTATGGAAATTAGAGAAATATAATTAAAATTTGCACAAATAAGATCTTCTGTTTATTTGTTGGCAAATTTGGGGAAATGTTGAGGAAACAGAAGATATTAATGACATTATGAAGAATAAATCCAGGAAAATCATTGAAAGTTGCGCATGCAAAAGTAGGGTTTTTATTTGTTCATTCGTTGGTAAATTATGGAAAATCTTAGAGAAATCGGGAAATGGAAGCAAATCATAACGAAATTTGGGAAAATTAAGAAAAGTTATCAGAAAATTATAGAAAGTCAAGGAAAACAAGTAGGATCGTTTTTGTTCATTTTTTGGCAAATTATCTAGAGAAAATCTTGAGAAAACCAGGATATTATGCGGAAGTCATTGAAATTTGCGCAAATAGAAACTTTTTGTTTATTTATTGGCAGAATAACTCGATAGTTTTTTATGTTTTTTTAAAGAAAGCATAAAAATTTAAACAAAAATAATCTAGATTCTCGATCATATAGTGCTGTTCTTATCAATAAAGACAATAAAATTATTTCATTTTTCTTACTAAAACTGAAAGAAGATTTATTATGTAGTTTCAATTCTCAAAAAATTACCAATACAAAATCACCTTCTAATTTTTGTAAACAAAGCTTAAAATTTAAAACAAAAATTTTCTAGATTCTGAATCATATGGAAAAAAAGTAAAAAATACTGCTACCTACTTCTCTTGTAAAAAAAAAAACAAAGACTGAAATTGAGGAAGTTATGAGAAAATTATAGGAAGTTAGGGGAAAATTCGTTTTAAATAGAGCAAGTAGGTAGGGTAGTTTATTTGTTGGCAAATTAGAACAAGTACAAGGAAATCTTTGAAATTTGCGTAAATAGGGTCTCTTTGTTTATTTGTTCAAGGAAATTATTGACAATTGCCCATGACAAAGAAAATCTTTTTTTGTTCATTTGTTGGCAAATTAGGGGAAAGCATGAGGAAATTGGAGAAAACGATGGAAATTTGAAAAAATATAATCCTTTTTTGTACATTTGTTGGTAAATTTGAGGAAATCTTGAGAAAATTATAGGAAATCATTAAAAATTGCTCATGTACGAGTACCTAAGGTTTCTTTGTTCATTTGTTGGCAATTAGGGTAAATTTGAGGAAACCAGAGAAAAAAAAGCAAAAAAGTAAATTTATAACAAAAATATCTTGCTGACACTCAATTTAATTTATTTAATTAGGAATATAACAGTTTTTCAATTTGCCTCAAAATAAAAAAGAATAAAAAAAACAGTTAAAATTTATTTAAATGACACAAAGTTTACTCGACTTTCTAAATAGAAATGAAATTAATAAGTCCAAAAGCTAAAAATTTTAAAGAAATGAAAATTGACTCCGAAATGCTGATTTTCAGGTGGCGGAGTCGGTGAACCAATATTGCCAGATCGACACGTCGGCAGAGAACCCCGTATACAGCATAAGCCCCGACCAGATCGGCATCCTCAACAACCTCAACTCCCCGATTGCGATCGCGACACCCTCTGTGAGCAGCACGAAACCGGCGACGAAGAAATACAAGCGTTCAAACAGCAACACCAAAGCACAAACGACGGTACAAAACGCGACCTCGACGAGCAACGGCGTCCGCAAAGAGCGCTCGTTGCACTACTGCAGCATCTGCTCGAAGGGCTTCAAGGACAAATACTCGGTGAACGTGCACATCCGGACGCACACGGGGGAGAAGCCCTTCGCCTGCAGTCTCTGCGGGAAGAGTTTTAGGCAGAAAGCCCACTTGGCCAAGCACTACCAGACGCACATAGCGCAGAAGAACGCGGCGGCGGCGGGCAACGTCGCCGCCGCTAAGGCCAAGTCGAGGTAGCTTGCTGGGGGCGGCGGAATGGCCCACATTCGTACCTAAATTATTTATTTATTTATTCGACATTCCGCCAACACACAAATTTACTATTCTCGAGAGATGGACAGCAACGAAAACACATTTTTGATGCTACTTTGCCAAGTTTTGTTCCTAGCATTGTTTTGTTTTGTTAATTTTTTTATTATATTATGTACTCATGTGCTGTGATTATGTGAAATTTACTTTCAAAAGAGATCGGAATTTTTGTGTATTTATTTTTTATTATCGAATCTGCCTAAAATTTCTTGCCATTTCTGTATTATCGCGTACTTGATAAAATTTAGAATGTTTTAATTTATTTATCGTATGATTAGTTTCTTTGTTACTCGCAGAGTGGAATCTCTAATTGTTTGTTTTTCTAATGTTCAGTTTTTTTTCCTAACTATTAAAAGTATTATCGTTCCACTCTGTTCTAGGTTACTCCGCAGTGCTTCAACGAAGCATTTAATTTAGTTTCAGATGCTTTTAGTTTAATGCTAGTGCTTAGTTATTAGAAAGAAAAAACTTCAGTTTACCATATGTCAAGGCATTATATGACCTTTTTACCTTATAATACTCACTTTGTAAAATAAAATCGTTTATTGTATATTAAATAGTATAATTTTGTTGTACACATTGCAAATGTGAGTACAAATGCGACCGAGTCGCGTCATTTGTTATTTTCTAATCTTTACCATCTTACAATTGTTGTCTATGTTATAAATGTTTACGTAATGTTACAATTGTTTTGTAAATCGATCATACTTAATGCTCTTGTTTACTAATTTTTTTGTATTATAATCAGTATTTGTTGATGTTTTTGTAAATGTTCGTAATTCTTATTTATGACAGTTTGCCATGGTAAAGGGATTTATATTATTATTATGATTTTTGTTCTATTTTGGATCTCATTCAATTTAGTTTTTTGCTTGCTTCTTTGGCCCATAACTGCCAACTTTTTCCAACTGTGTTCTCTCTGAAAGACAATACTCAAATAGACTACATATACGTACGGAAATATGTACATCCAGACACTTTATATAAACTTTTTTGTTTATATTCGCCATAGAACATGTTTTATACTCAGTTTACGTTATGTATAGTTATATCAGATTTTATCTCCTCTTTATTATTGATTTTATAAAGTATTTTTATACCTAGATTCATATATTTACATTTTATAACTTTATTATATAATTGTGAATTTATTACAAATAAACATTATTTAAAAAACTCAGCTTGATTCGCCCCCCATGCCCATCCCAAATGATACGCCATTGGCACAATCCACGCAATCCACCATTTTGTCTACCAACAAAACAACTTTAACTACCAAATCACTAATCAGGCATGACAATTAATCACAATTAATCAACAAAAACGGATAAATTATTGTCTTTGTCGGGTATAAATTTAAAATTTCAAAAATTCGAATTAATTTTCCTTTATATAACTGCCACCAGATAGCAGTTACGCAATATTTTGACATTTGACAGCTGTTTGACACTTGACAGCAATCACAAAAATAAAATGTTCGAAAACCAATAAAATCGTTCAATTACCACAAAACCACGATGGCTGCAGTGTTAAAAAAACGCGCCTTGGCCGAATTCACCCAAACAATCCAGGTAAAGACTAAATCCCCCTGTTGACCAAAGTGAGGTTGTGTGTCCATTTTCCAGGAAAGCGCCCCTTTTCAGCCGATTAAAAAGCTCAAACTTGTCAAGAAGCCTCCCACAGGCACCGGAAACTCATCACTAGCCCTCATTAGTTGTCTTGAAAGTTGCAAGAGCAGCAGCGAAGCCTTACGCACCTTACTTCGTGTCTCTGATACTTTTGAACTTGAGACCCCAGACATACCCGAAGCGGTTAAAAAACTGAGCGATCATTTTAAAAATGAGCCAGAGTCAGCTGTCAGAGTGAAGATTTTGTCGCTCTTGTGCGATATTGGACATTTAGCCAACGCTGATGTTGTGTCCATCATAGATGAGGCGATTTTGTTGCTGAAAAACGACCATTCGCATAAAGTTATGGCTCAGGGGATGAACACAATACTTAAATTGGGGACATTAGTGCCTGATAATGTTATCGCATTGCATCAGAAACTGGTCGAAGTGGCGAAAAGTTACTTGAAAGATGTGAGTCACGCTGTGAAAAGGAGATGTCTTGAGATCATAGGCGTGCATACGCCGGTTTGTACGGGGGCAGACGCCGAGAAATTAATGGTCTTGATTAGTTCGTATTTCAACCACGATGACGCTAGGGTGCGGAGCCAGGCATTTTCGACTGTTATCACCCTACATGAGCGCAATTTTAAGATAAATCCTGATATTTATATAGACGTGTGTGAGGCCTTGAAAGACGACTACGAAATTGTCCGTCAAGTGGTTCTCAAGTTGGTGTGCCTATTAGGCAACACGTTTCCGGAAAAGTAGGCTTAACCCCTCTTTTGTTCACATTTAATTGAAAAAATTCCAGTGAGGTGGTACTCCCTGGTAGCGAACACGAAATTCGTCTCATAGATGACGCTTTCGGCAAGGTTTGCAACTCCATTTCTGACTTATCGATCCATGTTCGAACTTTGGCGGCAAAACTTTTAGGAACGATGAAACTCGTCAGCGCGAAATTCCTCAACCAAACTCTCGACAAGAAATTAATGTCGAATATGAGACGCAAGGTAATTGTTTCATTCCTGTGTTCGAAAATTTTCATGTTTTTTCCAGCGTACGGCCCACGAGTTGGCATGGGAGAACGTGACTAGTGGCGAATGGGCGAGTGGAAAAAAATGGGCCGATGATGCCCCCCGCGAAATCCTCGACGCCGACAGCATCAATCTGATGAGCAGTGGGGCGTGTGGGGCCTTCGTGCACGGTCTAGAGGACGAGTTCATGGGTGAGACGAGGCGAAGCCGAGTTATTTTTGTGAATTAATATTTCAGAGGTGCGTTCGGCTGCCGTGGAATCGCTCTGCGAACTATCGATTCGCAACCCTCAATTCGCAAATTTATCGCTTGATTTCCTTGTTGATATGTTTAACGACGAAATTGAGGATGTGAGACTCAAGGCGATTGATAGTTTACGCCGAATTTCCGAACACATTATCCTGCGAGACGACCAATTGGAGACCATATTAGGGGCCCTTGAGGACTTCTCCCAGGATGTGCGAGAGGGGCTGCACCGAATGTTGGCTTCGTGTAAAATGTCAACAACAGCAGGGTTAAAAATGTGTGTGGAGAAATTGTTAGATAACTTGAAAAAATACCCACAAGATAAGAGATCAACTTACCGGTGTTTGCAACGAGTGGGGGCACAGCACCCAGAGTTGGTGCTCCCTCTAGTGCCACAATTATTAAATATACATCCTTTTTTTGATACAGCTGAACCGGACGTCGAAAATCCGCAATGTATTAACCTAACCGGATTTTCCGATTCGTATAAAACAATTTTTTACAGATATTTGTGTCTTGATTTTGATTCTAAATGCGGCGAAATTTTCACCTACAATAATCCCGCTTCTGGAACCTCACACTTTACGTCACTATGCATACATAAGTGACACAATGCCGTCTCTAGTTCCGGTTTTAAGTCTCCCGGAGTCGAGTTGTAGCACAATAACGAGGCCACAAACCGTTCCCGAAAGTCTCGAGTTCCTCAACAATGTCATAAGCAACTTGGATTTAGCCGAAAATACGTTACGGTGAGGGACAAGCTTGGCGAGTGTGTTACTAAACTTTCGTTTTAGAGTCCAAACGACACTTTTGCAGACTGCTAAAGAACACTTGAACCGTTTGAGTGAAATCGACTCGTCGGTTGCAGGCACGGCTCAATTCACCTCGCTTTACATCGGGGCCCAATTAATAATGTCCCAAATCTTGGAAAAGGGCTATTGGCTCAATCCGGCTACTTTGGCCACCCAACAGGCCAACAATCTGAAAACTAACATAACAAACCTCTTGGAGTATTGTCTCAAATTGCAGTTTTTCTTCGTAGGACTTAGCCCTGTGGAGGAATGCGCCGTCAAAATGTTCCGTTTGCGGGCCCTCGCACTTAATCTAGTGTACATAGTCAAGGGCAGCAACGCCTCAGCTTTGGCTCCCTGCCACCACTTCCTCACCATCGTCGAAGACATGCAGCGGGACTTACAAGTCGCGGGCTTAGACCCTGACGCTTTCACGTCAGCCGTTTTCAAAGAATTGTCAGTGTTGGAGGAGCCCAAACCGGGAACAGTTTCCCGAATTCTAATCCCGATCCTCTCGGAAGCCCGATTGGGTAAAATCCCGCGTCCGAACATACAGATTCGGATGAGTTCGGCCGAGATCGTCGAACCGAACGGCCAGACCGACACCTCATTAAAGTTCACAGCGGGGTTGGTGATGTCCGTGCACTTCGACGCCGAATTAAGGCACTTGAGTGATCCCTCGAGGGTCAGATTGAAGGTCAAGTATCCCGATCAGAAAACCCAGATTATTTTGCCCCGACCGGCCCACATGAAACCCCTAATGTTGGACGGGGAGGAGACCCAAGCGGGGCACAATGTGAGGCTGCTAACGGCGGTGTTGATCTCGCATCAAGTATGGTCGGAAGCGTGCAATGTGGAAATTAACGTGGCCTTGGCCATTCCGGAAGCGGATCTCGGGAAACGGAAGGCCAATGTGAGCACCACGCCGACATTGATTGACCTGTGCAAGCCGGTGAAGGTCAGCGTGGCACCCAAGCCTATCAAAAGGACATTATAAAGATTTGTAAATAATTTTTTTAATAAAATTTGTGAAAAAATAAAAAATTAGATCCTTGATCAAAGGTTGCTGGCGTATAATTTGACCTATGAACAGCGACGTGTAACTGCAATAAAACTCGTCTACGTCCACTCTAAATCGCAGTTTGTGTGCAACCTCAAATATTTTTCGTACAATCGAGAGTTTAAGCGAAAAACAGCCTTAAAGTATTATTTTTTTGTACAAAAATTTTGAATTTTCTATTTGACAGCTGACATTCCATGACAGGTACCACAATAACAAGAGAAAATCCACTAGATTTGTCAATTGCAAAGTCCGCCCCAGTTTCAACAACCTTCAATTAGTTCTTGTTGATAATTAGAAATGGCTACAATGTTACGGGGTGTCCTTTTGGCCGAGAACGTCCTCCTGAAAAACGGACCAAAGGTGAGCACAACGCTTGACCTCACAAAGTGTGTGGTCTTTGACCTTGACCATTTTTGTATTTTTAGTGTCAGCCCTGCAAATTTAATTTAATTATTTATAACTTCATTACATAATTTCCATTACATAATTGCAGATTTTGGGGTCTGCGGGTTGGCAGCCGCAACAGCAACAGAAGCGAAACTTAAATGTTCACGAACACATCAGTTACACCCTTCTCAAGGACGCTGGCATCCAAGTCCCCAAATTCGGGGTCGCCAAGACCAAGCAAGAGGCGCGGAAAATCGCCGAAGACTTGAAAACCAAAGACATTGTACTTAAAGCGCAAGTTTTGGCAGGTGGCAGGGGCAAAGGTCACTTCAAGAATGGACTCAAGGGTGGAGTCAGGATGGTTTATTCGTGAGTACTTTAAAGTAGTTTTTTTTAATTACAATTCTTCTTTGTAGTCCAGAAGAGGCCGAGGACATTGCTGGTCAAATGCTTGGCCAATATTTGGTCACGAAACAAACTGGGGAGAAAGGACGCATCTGCAACGCTGTTATGGTCGCAGAACGAAAATTCCCCAGGAAAGAGTTCTATTTCGCAATTATGATGGAACGCGCATTTGGCGTACGTTACAATTAAGAGTCTCCCCCAATTAACCTCCAAATTACAGGGTCCTGTAATCATAGCTTCCTCTCAAGGGGGTGTCAACATCGAAGAAGTCGCAGCCGAGAACCCTAACGCCATTTTATACGAGCCAATCGACATTATCAAAGGTTTGAGTAAAGAACAAGCCCAGAAAGTGGCCGTTAATGTCGGTTTGGGCTCCCAGAAGGAGAAAACCGGGGACATGTTACTAAAAATGTACGATTTGTTTTGCAAAAAGGATGCACTCCTTATCGAAATCAACCCGTACGCTGAGGACGCCGGAGAAACATGTAGAAAATAAAACTGCAAGTGAAATAGCAATTTCACTCAATTTGTTACAGATTTCTCCCTTGATGCTAAATTCAGATTTGACGACAACGCCGCTTTCAGACAGAAGGAACTGTTCGCATTGCGCGACTGGACCCAAGAGGACGAGAAGGAAGTGGCCGCTGCCAAATTCGACCTCAATTACATTGCCCTAGACGGCAATATTGGGTGTCTTGTGAATGGTGCCGGTCTCGCTATGGCTACCATGGACATCATCTCGCTGCATGGGGGCTCCCCGGCCAATTTCCTCGACGTAGGAGGTGGCGCCACAGCCCAGGCAGTCAAAGAAGCCTTTAAGATTATCACAGCTGATCCTAAAGTTCACGCAATCCTTGTGAACATCTTCGGAGGTATTATGAGGTGTGATGTTATCGCGGAAGGTATCATTGCTGCTGCGAAAGAACTCAACCTCAAAATGCCGATTATCTGTCGTCTGCAAGGCACCAATGTCGACGATGCTAAAGTTTTAATTGCCAGTTCAGGATTGAAGATTTTGCCGGTTGATAACCTCGACGAAGCGGCTCGTCTAGCTGTTAAATTGTCCAATATTGTCAGTCTAGCGCGTGATGCGAAGCTAGATATCAATTTCGAGATTCCTTTGTAAATTAAATTATCGCACTAATATAAATTTTGCTTGGATCATCTGACTTTTTAGGGTGATTTTGTTTTTCATGCACATATTCATGAGACATGAAACAGTGGTGTGTATATTGTTGTAATTAATATTTATTTATATATGTTAAGAATAAATTATTCCACAAAAATTAATCAGTTACTTGAACTGACCAGGCGATGGGCCAAATAGGCTGTTTCCTTGCTTTGAGGCCGCTCGTGAGGGGGCAAAACCCAGCAATTTCTGAATATTCTGTCGAATGGACATGGTGCAAAGAATGTACAAGAAAATGAAGGAGCAATCGTAGTAGTCATCACCTGGCAAATTGCGGTGGCTCAGCCCCTGGATCCAAGTCAGGGGCATAAAAGGGAGACGGGCCACAACTCGCCCATCAAATCTACAAAACGCACTTTTTCCCAAAAAAAAAAAAAAAAAAAACACCAAGAAAACACTCACATGCTATTGAACATGCTGAGTAGGGCGGTAAAAGCAAACCCAATCGCAAACATCGACTTCATTTTGACCAAAGACAAGTCCCGGTTGTTGTTTTTCAAACGTTCCTCTTCTCGTTCGATTTTCTTCTTGTGCTGCTTGTCGAGCGAGTCGCCGTGAGCCTCTTTGCGTTTCTCGACTAGAAACCAAGCTTGTAGAATATTTACTTAAAATATATTTCATTCTCACGTCTTTTACTCTGTCTCTCCACTTCGGTCTTCAACTTTTGGTACTTTTCAGTGCGGTACACCATTAACCAAGTCAGGCCCTCGCCCAACAAGGCTGTGCAAATGGAAATAAAGACAATCAGCAAAGTGTCGGCCCACATTTCCACAAACTCCAAAAATAAAAAATCTACTAAAAAAGAGGTTATGCCGAGAGAGATGACGTTTAAAAAATTGGTGATTTTTGTTGAGTCAAGTTGCTGGATTCATAGCCGAAAAACAATAAAACCGAAACTTGAAAAATTTAACGCGCTTCGTTATTAGGACGATTAGCAAATTGTCAGGGAAATGTTTAATTAGTTATATAGTTTCTTATTAAAGAAAATATTTTTGAAGTAAATTTGTTTTGTAGAAATTTTCGTTACGTAAGATTGGCTGCTCTGTACCCGTCATTTACGTCAAGTGTCACTGACAAAAAATTATTAAAATGTCCCGTGTTTGTTTTTATTAGTTTCAAATTGTTCACTGTGTTTCATATTCGATGCAGTTCCTGGGAAAAAATCACCCCAACAAGTAAAAAATCTCATTTTGTATGATTCTCTTCCTTAAACTCCCAATTTTAGTTCTATCGATTTTTCTATGACTCATTTCGTTCAGTAATCCCTCCGAAACAAGGTAGAGAGAATGGAGGCTGTGCCCAGGTTGCCTATGATAAGTTTCGAGCTGAAAACAAGCCCGGAAAATGCTCAATTCGGGCCCCAACTCAAACAGGTAAAAAATCCGCTTTTGTGCCAATCGCACCTAAACCCAATTCTAGTACATTGCGACTTTCTACAACGAGGACCCCGCGTCGTACAATAGCGAAATAAGCAATTTGGAGGCGCTACGAGCGGCTGCGATACGCCCCACGATTGATGTAGCCGGCTGTCAGCTCCTGAAAAAATACTACTGCCAGCTGCATTTCCTGAAATCGAGGTTCCCCATGTACGAGGGACAAGCAGCAGCTGTGTATTTCTCATGGAAGGATAATTACACCGGCATGCCATGTAACATCCCCGACATTCGATTTGAATTGATGTGCATTTTGTACAATATCGGGGCCTTGCATACCCAATTGGGGGCTCTGGATTCGCGGACTTCAGCCGACGGCCTTAAAATGGCTTGCACGCATTTCCAATGCGCAGCTTGGGCCTTCCAGGTACCACAAATCACCCAACAGACCCACCCCTTACCATTTTTTTTTATCAGACTGTGAAAGAAACCTACCACCAAATGGTACCATACATGTCGTCAGTGGAAGCTGTCCATTTCATGCAACAAGTTTGCTTCGCCCAAGCACAAGAATGCATCCTCGAGAAGAGCATGATGGATAATCGCAAAGCCACAATTACTGGTAATTGAAAAAACAAAACAAAAATTGTTTTAACTTGAAAAATCGTAGCTAAAGTCGCAGTCCAAGTGGTGGATCACTACAAAAGGGCCTTGTCTTTGCTGTCTTTCAGCGAGGATAGTTTTGCGGGTATAGTGGGCGCTAAAACGACGAAAGAATGGAACAAATATCTCTCATTCAAAATATCCTACCACAAATGTATCGCTCTATTATTCCAAGGCCAGCAAGCCGAAGAGCAGCAGAAAATGGGTGAAAGAGTGGCGTTTTATCAAGCGGCTTGTGAACAATTGGAGGAAGCGCGAAAATTATCCACTGGTTTAAAACAACAAAAAGATTTGAATGAAGCTATAGCGTTCACCTCGGACGTGGTCGAGGGTAAACGCAAAGCAGCGAAAAACGAAAACGAGTTTATTTACCACGAGGAAGTCCCCGACAAGCATGCCCTTCAAGAGGTCAAAGGTGCCTCCCTGGTCAAAGGCATTGCGTTCAACGTGAACGATATTGAAGTCTCCGGACCGGACATTTTCGCCAGACTCGTCCCCATGGAGGCCCACGAGGCCTCCTCACTATACAGCGAGAAGAAAGCACAGAAATTGAGACAGTTGGGGGAATTGGTCGAGGCCAAGGACCAGGCGTTAGCCGAGTTCATGTCCTCGTTGCAATTGGACGTTTTTACTCAAATGAGACAAGCCACCGGTTTGTGTCAGGATTTGGTCGATCGTGCTGCTGCTTTGTCGGCCAAGCCGTCAGCGACTCAAGATCTAGTCGCCGCGATGGGGCGCCTCTCCAACAGTTACCACGAAGTCGAGTCGATGCTCAACGAAATCCAAGACTTGCTCAAGGAAGAGGAGCAAAGCGAGAAGGAATATCAAGAATTGATGGGGAAGCGACCCCCGAGTATTATCGCGACCGATTTAGCACGCGAAGCGGCGAAATATCGCGAAGCTCACAACAAAGCCAACGACTCGAATCAGAATTTGCACAAGGCGATGATGACACATGTGGCGAATTTGAAAATTCTAGCACAACCATTGGGGGATTTACAGAAACAGATACCTTCAGTCGAACTACCTAATCCGAACATTGACGAGAATTGTGTCAGAGAAATCGAGAATTTGGTCAGTAAAGTCGAAGAGATGAGGAATCAGAGGGCGATGCTGTGGTCGCAGTTTCGCGAAGCTGTACACAAGGACGACATCACGAGTGTTTTAGTGACACGCAAAGACCAACCTTTGGATCAGGTCTTTCAGCAAGAATTGGAAAAACATCAAGAATTGGTATGAAAAAATATTGGCCGTTTTTTTTATTATTATATGCAATTTGAAAGACGTACTTATGGCTATCTCTTTTCAAGATTTGTAACAGCTTCGTTGCTCTGTCGCTACGTATTGTGTAAGGTCACGCTATTTATCTCACTTTAACAAATGCAATTAAAGTAACGCAGGGCTAGTGACGTATATCAAAAGTGTATCTTGATGTGACGTAGGTCATTTGGAATTTCATTTTTGTTGGAGAAAACTTTTCGAGGCTACTCTCTATATCATCATAACAATCGTAATTCAAGTCTTATAAAAACCTTACGCCAGAAAGAAACTTTAATTTTTGGCTTTAGTACGAAAATATCACAAGCTATCAAATGTCAAAAACAGACGGAGGTCATGTCGTGTTCTTGATTCACACTACCCTCACCAGCAAAAAATAAAGATGGGCATTATAATTTTTTTGTTTTCAGACGAATCTAATCGAACAGAATATCGCCGCTCAGGAAAACATCCTCAAAGCCTTTGTGGACGCCTACGCCCGCTCGATGTCGACTCGTCGCTACTTGCAGGACGTGATTAACAAACGAACGACGACGGTGAGCGCACTCATCACCTCCTACGATACGTACGAGGATCTCGTAGCAAAGGCCAATAAAGGAATTGATTTTTATAATAAACTAGAAACTAACGTTTCCAAATTACTGCAACGTATTAAAAGCGCGTGTAAGGTGCAACAGGAAGAACGCGAACAAATACTATTGAAAAATTCGGCTCCTGTAACTACGACCAAAGAAGAAACGATTAATTCTGCACCGAAATTGAAAGATTTTATCGATACAAGAAAAAAAACACGAGGTTTTAACGATGTTAGTCCTCAGTATTATCCTCAGGGGGTGCCGGCAGTTCGACCGGCGCCCTTAGGGTCCGAAGTCAATGAACCGGTTGTAACCAAACCGCAAGAACAGGTCTACACCGGTTTGGACCAGAATTTAGCCGACAGAATGTCCGGTTTGAGGATGGGGTACTATGGGCAAAATGCCCAAAATAAACAAGCCTATACTACTACCATTGATACGTACCAACCAATTTCCAGTAGTACACAAAATAATCAAGTAACCGCTGATAATATTCCTCAAGGGTACCAGATGTCATACACTTCGTCGTATAGTCAAGTTGGCCAACCTGGCGAGAGTTATCCTCAGGTTAGTCAACCGAACGTTGCAACTTATCAGAATTACTCGACTTATAACCAGGCTGGCCAACTTTATAACCCAAATCAGGCTAGCCAACATGACGCCTACGCAACGTATGGCCAGTCTGGCCAATTTTACGGTCAAATGTCGCAGGGGAATCAAATTGCCCAAATGCCAATTTTGCCGGCTCAGGGGAGCCAACCGTACAATCAACCGGGTCAAGTTGACGGATACTCCACGAGTTTGCCTTATAATCAGGTTAGCCAACCTAACGTATATTATCCGGCCGGTTATGGTCCCACTCAAGTGCAGCCGACCGAACAAACTTATTCCTACCCTAACACTTTCGGTAATAACGAATATGCAACTTCGGTGCGTCCCGATATTACCAATCTGAGTTACAATTCGACTTATTCCTCACCGGTGGTCGATTTAAAAAGTTCCGATTCGAATTCGAAAAATTACGTGATTAGCAATGGCCAAGGTTACCCAGGTTACGAACAGTACCAATACTATTATAATTACAATCAGACTTATCCAAGCTATGGAAGTGATTACAGTTACGCATCGCCGTCACCCCAAACCTCCGACACTTCCACGGCTATAACAACGAAAGAATCGAACATTGATCTACTCACCGGTTTAGATTTTACCGTAAATCAAGCGCCACTCATTCCTCAACAAAAACCCTCGGATCCGGAAGTAAAACCGGCACAAAAAACTGAAACTCCGACAAAACAACCACCGAAAATCGTTAAAAACGAGGACGAGCCGCCGAAATTCGAACGGGTCGTCAATCGGAAACCACTGAATAGTTCCGAAGTGAAAAAATTATTTGCAACGGAAATCGACAAGTATGAAAAATTCGTCGATGTTTTGACCAATAAAACGTTAAGCGGACCGACGAATTTGGACCTGAAATGGAAAGAAATCCAAGACAAGCAAGACGTGGAGAAAAAAGCGATTTCGGTGGCTAGGTGTTATCCGATGAAAAATCGATTTCCCGATATTTTGCCCTACGATTATTCAAGAGTGGAGCTGAAGGCGGCGAAGGATGATTATATCAACGCTTCCTATGTCAAGGTAAACAGACATTAACATTTTTTAAATAAATTGTTTTGATTGTCCTCTCTTGCCAACCTTGGAACTCAAAATACCCAAAATTTGGTTTTATTATGATGTTTTCCATGAAAACACGTTTGTTTGTTCATTGTTGCCAATATTAGAAAAATTTCAGGATATTTCCTACTACGCAGCTCCTTTCGTGGTGACACAGGCCCCTTTGGCCGCCACCATGACCGACTTTTGGACAATGATCAAAGAGCAGAACGTGGAATTGATTGTTTGTCTCCTCAACGACGCCGAAATCGGTCCCGACATCTACTGGCCTTTGGAAAAGGGCCGCGATTTGTCCCTTCCCGGCATGTCCATTTCCTTGATCAGCGTCACCCCAAAGCCCCACTGGACGGAACGTCTCATCGCGATAAGCGTCCCCCCCGAAAAGCGGGATTCCCGCGTTTTGATGCATCTTCAGTTCACTTCATGGCCCGGAAGTCTCTTCCCGACGAGTCCCGATCATTTCGTGGCTTTCGTAACGGAAGTGATAAATCTGTTTATGCAACAGAGGAATACGACGCATCCTGTCGTGGTACATTGTTCGTCGGGGATCGGTCGAAGTGGGCTGGTTTGTTTGTTGGTGACTGCGATTCTGGAAGTGACGAGTAATCCGACGGCGATTCCCGATTTGGTGGCTTTGGCGGTCAAGTTGGGAGTGTGGAGGAGGAATATTTTGAGGGATAGAGAGCATTTGAAGTTCGCGTTTGAGGCGTTTTTGAGGTATATGAAACAGGTGGTGGCGCAAGGGAAGGGGTTGAGTGAAGGTGGGAGTAAGAAGGAGGAGGTGGTCAACGAAATTAAGCAAGAGGATGATCCCTTGAGTAGTTTGGATCCCTTCTGGGCAAGCAAGAAGAAACAGTGATTTTTACTATCCGATGTATTATTTTTTCGATTCTAATAATTACTATTATGATTATAATATAGTGATATTAGCGTAATTATTCTATTTTTTATCTATTTTTATGTGGATGATTAGGAGGAAGTCTTTTTAGGAGGAGAATTGATGTTATCATAAAATGTACTGATTAATTCTTAAATAAACTTATTTGAAGTAGTGCTTGTTTCGCTCCTGTATTTTAATTTTGATGCTGAAATATTTTACCTTTAAAAATGGGACAGCCAAGTCATTTTGTTGTCATTAAATGTGAAAGGGCCTTTAGATAGTAACCTAACTTTTGGTTTAGTCACCTACTCACCTATATAATAATGCATTTTGACATTTTGGAGATTTTGAGAAAAGTCAAATTTGACGTTAAAGCCTGCTTTACAGTGAAGTTTAAAAAAAATGTCAAAAATTTGATGGTCCAATTTTGAATCCAAAAAAAACTGACGTCATAAATAAAATATGCAAAACATCGTGTTATTAAAAAAGCGCCGAATTTAAATGTCAAAAAAATCACATTCATTTTTATTTTAACACAACAAAAACAAATGTTTATATAATTTTCAGATAACGTCTAGACATAATCAGCTCATACCGCAAATACGATATGAAACCTCTTTATAGATTAAAAATATAACATCAGTTGTAAACTTTATACTGTCATCTCATGCTGATAAATGAAGGAAAATTATTATTAATAACAAAAGTGTAGGAATTTCAACTCTGATGGTGATTCCGTAATATCAACAATAAACAAATCTATCTCCACCATTACTTGCATGCAAATTACGTAAAATTTGCAATAAAAACATTATTTTGTTCGTTTCTTCTTAAAACTATTATTTCAATTATTGTGAAATAAAGAACATTGACTGTAAAGTGCCATTTATACTGACAGCCCGTATTACTTTATGAAATATATTCAAACATTTTAATTTCCTCACAACATGGGTTGAGATTTCAATCTCAAATTTCGATTTGAATAAATGATTCACGTCCTTAAAATCAACTTTATTTTTTACAAGTTGTATTTGATAATTTTTGAAAATCTGGTAATTTTAAATTTGTAAACTTGTATTAACGCAATAGTAAATTTTGAATTCGCAGTTGGTTCAGAAAGGATTTAATTAAAGAAACATATACATGCATTCAAACCGGCCTTGCACCCTACGGCTTTCCACCAAACAATAGTTTATTACTCCATTAGAAATAATTTATTTTTTAATTGTCAAGTTGACATTACAGTAGGAACCACCTTTTTTATATCTTTTAATTTTTTGGTAACTTTAAGTTTGTAAAGTTGTGTTAATACAATGGTAAGCTTTGAATTGTAGGTTGGTACAGGAAAACAAATATTTATTAAAAGAGATAAAAAAAGTAGTATTTAGTTAACCCATTGTGCAACCTGCAGTGTTCCTTCAAACAAGGGGTCATTCCTAATAATGTATTAACGTTAACGTTGGTAGGTAACTTTTATATCACTAAAAATTATGAGGTTGCAACTTGACTATAACAAAACCATTTCATGGTCACGAGAAAATTTAAAAATATTGATAGGTAAATTACCCAGGTGTGTAACACGTGCTGTCAAAATGAACCTGACACCTGTCACCGGTCATGTTATTTGTCATTTTTCCCTTTATCTCGAATTTAAGACTTGCGTTCGCAATCACCCGCTCCACTGATGCAGTTTAGTTTAAAAAACATTCAAATCAGCTGAAACTTTAACCCCTCGCGCGACGGGTAAAAACCCACGAAGCAAACCGGTTTGCATGTCGGATCTTTACCGCACGATTTTGGCAAAGAGAGAAGCCCCAATTTGCGCTCCTCACGCTAGACGGAGAAAAGCGGTGAGTTTCGTGACGCAGGCGCGTAGTATGGCGGTGTGGTGAGTTAGGGCGTGCGGCGGTCCGATATATTTTATCCTCCCGAAATCCGTTTCATTTCCAGATTGGAAAGTGCTTCAGTGCGGTGCAGTCATGAAGGAGTACCACCAAGTCACCTCCCCCAACTACTCGTACGTGTTCAACTTCGAGTCGGACTTCATCCACCAGGAGACCCGCACATGGATGCAAGACAACTGGACGTTGGGCTTCTACTACGTGGGCATCTACATGGTGCTCATCTTCGGGGGCCAGCACCTCATGCAAAGCCGTCCGCGGTTCGAGCTCCGGGGCGTCCTCAGCCTCTGGAACACTCTCCTGGCCACGTTCAGCATCATCGGGGCCTGCAGAACGGTCCCCGAGTTCCTCCACACCCTCACCCACCACGGCCTCTACCACTCGGTCTGCGTGCCTAGTTTCATCGAGCAGGACAAGGTGTCGGGCTTCTGGACGTGGATGTTCGTCTTGAGCAAACTCCCCGAGCTGGGGGACACCATCTTCGTGGTGTTGCGGAAACAGCCCCTCATTTTCCTCCACTGGTACCACCACATCACGGTGCTGCTCTACTCCTGGTTCAGCTACACGGAGTACACGGCCAGTGCGAGGTGGTTCATTGTGATGAACTACTGTGTCCATTCGGTGATGTACACATATTACGCACTCAGGGCCATGGGGTACAGCCCCCCGAGACAGATCGCCATGCTGATCACCTCGCTCCAACTCCTCCAGATGGTGATCGGCTGCGCGGTCAACATCTGGGCCCATCAGCTCCTCCAAAGCCAAGCCGAATGCCACATAACCCCCTTTAACATCAAATTGTCAATTGCCATGTATCTGAGCTATTTTGTTCTTTTTGCGAGGTTCTTCCACAAGGCCTATCTCTCGGGGGCGAAGAGGAGCAAAACTAGGAGCGCCACGGCCGACTACCCTCTAATCAAATCGAAAGTTCACTAGTTCCAGGACTGTTTTGTTCGGTTTTTTTCGGGTTGTGATATGTTTTAATAAAATGATGTTCCAACAAATTTTATAACAAAATCGTTATAAATTATATGTATATTTTTTATAAAGCATTTAGAAAATGTGCATTTCATAGGGCATTTATGGTTTCGTTGTTACAGACGACACAAAACGACCTGAAATTTCATGATAATCATGAAGAATTAACTACTTAATTTTTATTGTCAACACTATTGTTTCAAATCGTTTTGTGACATCTCTAAATCGTTGGAAAAGGAACACAGAACTAGTCATTGTTAGGTTTATAATTGTGTATGGAATTACATTTTTATCATAATCGCAACTTATTTATTTTCTACTTTTAGACAATTCAACGTGAAGAGTCACACTGTTAAATTGTTCTGCAACAGTCGTTCAATAAAATATTTTTTACCAACTTATTTTATTAATCACGCTATGACCCGATGATTCAAGATTTGCTAAATGCTTATCTAATCAAAATTTAATGGCGAAAAAACCACTATTATTATGTATGACATAATCCAAATCAGGAAGTCGCAATTGGCCTTGAACTCGCATTGTTTTAACAAAACTATAAACAAAATTGTGAAAATTTTGTTTATTTTCTAACTGCAGTGACACACTTCTTACCCATTTATAAAGTGTGTCATCATTTAGTGGATTTGTCGATTTGTGCAGCGATGCCAGATTAGGGAATTTCTCTAGTTCTAAGGATTTTTGACAGAAAGGGAAAAGGGATTTTTGTTTAAGTTCTTTCAATAATATAGGGATTTTTTTTAAATTTTCAATAAAAATAAGTTGAAAAGAGTATGTTCTGTAGCTACAGAATACAGATACAAAAATAGAAAAGAAACATTTCTACTAATTGTTGTACTCCATTTATGAATGTTTCAGTCGAACATTCAAAATTAATGAAATTTTACAATTTATATAAATAAAAATTAATTATCTGTCTACGTTATAACAGAATTTGTGTATTTTTTATTTCTTTAATAGAATTTATTTTTTCAGAATTCGTCACTAAAGTTACATAAAATCGTCAGTAATCAATCTAAAATCGGCACTAAAGTAGTTCATTATACAACTTTTTACTGCAACCAGTAAACATTCGAATTGATTCAAATTGTCATATTAAAATTAACTTTAATAAATAGGCATTTCCCTGTTGTTTTTGTCTATAATTTTTTGATTTAATGAAAATAATAACATAATTTAACCTTCAGTAGTTTTGCACAAACTTTGTCCAAATTTGGGATTTCGGAAAAAGTTATATGTACCTCGGCATTAAAGTCATTTTTCATTACTCATGTGTTTTATCGATTACTAAACATACATACACTCATAATTGAAAAATAAGATTTTTAGTGTCTTGATCATAAATAACTGTTATATTGTTTATTGATTTTTTTGTTAACACATATTTATGTTGTAACCAGAAGGAAATTTGCGTATAAATGTTTTTTTACATAGTTTAGGGAATTTGCAACTCCGTTTTTTTTTGAGTAAAATAGATCTGAAACATTTGATTTTTGTGTAAAAGAAGAATCTGTGTAACTACTGACAAATTTTGATCAAGAAGTTCCACTGTTTCATACAAAAAAAAAAACAGAAGTGGCGGTAGATATGGCACGAGATGTACAATCTCATCTGGCAACACTGGATTTGTGGCATATCCAACAACTTTAAATTTTTACCTCGCCGATGGTAAATTCCATTAGCAGTTTGAAAATACAAAAGCCAAGTGGTTATTCTTGTTTGTGTGAGGATTTTTCCAATGTATTCTCGAATTTTTTTGACTATTTAATGAAATTAATTCGCGTGACCTTCAATTACTAGCCGGCGTTTCCACCTCGTTATAAAACGAGTGTTTGAAATAATTAAAAACGCTGAATGAAATGAAAGAAAGTCTAGGAGAAAGTTCAGGTTGATATCGAAAATCGTAATATGGTATGACTCCTTTTACACCAATAAGAAATTATTATTTCTATACACTTTGAAATAAATTTATGATCAAAGTAACCTGTGGCTTTAAAGTTATGTTGGTAACACCGAAATACGACTATCCCTTCCCTTCCCAAAATAAAAAGACTTTTTCCACATATAGCCGCATACAAGGTATTTTGGTCGTCAATGTCATTTTTTGATAAACTTATTTTTGTATAACTTGAGATGATGTCAGCAAGAATAGAAAGTCAATCGACGTTTAAACTACTTTTGAGTTTTTTAAAAGTGATTTAAAATATTTAAGGTTATTTAATTATAATTGAAAAATGGTTTTAAAAAATCCCTATTTCACCTATTATATAAAAATTCCGGAATTTCCCCGGTATCTGGAAACACTGCTTTGATAATCAATGGTGCCAACTTAATTCCACTCATAGGACACTTCGATCAGAATTGTGTAAAGATTTTTGTGCTATTCAAAAATACGTTTTGGTGTTTAAACAGAATTGTCTTTTTTTCTAATTTCGATCCTCCTCAATATTTTCACTCATTACATACAATAACAAGAAAATTTACATTTTGATCAAAAAAATGCCTTTGACCGTAAATGCGACGGACTACTAGGTCAGTTTTTCAATGAAACAATGGGAAAAATAATTCAAATTTAAATTAGAGGTAAATTTTTGGTAAAATCGCCATCGCATTGTGGAAAATTATGACAGTGATAATGAAATCAGTGGCGAGTTCATGGCTAAAATATCAAATTATGAAGGAAATTTTGAACAGTTTTAAAAATCATAAAAATTCCCATTATTACAATTGCTCGCAGGTAAATAGCGTCAATCATTTTTTATATTCACCATTTATTTGCGTAAAAAATAAAGACGAAAGTAAAAAAAAATGTGCAAGGTGACTTTTGAGGTGATCAAGCAAGAACCTGTTGGTCAAATTAAAATAGAAAACAAAAATGAAAAGACCCTAATTTTTCCATTCCAGCAGGGTTTTATTCAAGGTCACACTCTATTTGGATGTTGAGAGCTAATTTGCTCGTTTTAAGAATTCGATTCCACTTGTTATGTGAGTTACTTTCTAACTGAGTTTCCTTTTTCTCTAAACTTACGTAAGTTGTTCCGTCACAGGAAATTGAACTTGAGAAAAAGTCCAACATTTGAAAATAACCATAAAATAAGTTGGCAATACCGACGACCAGAAATTATTATAGGTAATATAAAAATGACAATTAACTAAAATTTTGACGTTTCATTTGTACAGTTTATGTTACCAACTTAATTAAGTCGTAGGACACTTTGATCAGAACTTTATTTGAAGTTTGAAGTTTTTGATCACTCGGTATTTAAAAAATACAGGGTGTTTCACGTAATTTTACGAGGCCTGCGCCTGTAAGATGCAATCAATAATACATATTCCGATACGAACTCGATTACAAATTTTGAAAAATTGGATAATCTTCTCTAGTTTGTTCACCCTTTCAAAAATTACAATGTTTTTAGTTAGTTAGTGATTAAGATAGATAAACTACAATCATATTCATGCCATCTCTTGATAGAACAAATTATAATTGTTTCTGAAAAACTGCAGTTTATGACTATTAATGAAACAGTGATTAGTTTGACAACTACTGTCATGGGTTTCCAAAAATTAAATAATTAAACGTGTATTTTTTGTATCCAGTGTTCTGTGACTTTTGTATATTTGGGTGCGTCCATTAGGCGCAAGCCTCGTAAACACCCTGTATGTTTAAATATGCGATTTAAAAAATATAAAACTCGTCATTGCATTGTTATTTATCGCATTGTTTGCTTATTTCAACCCATTTATCGTTGTTCTACTTTACATTTCTGTTTTTTTCAAAATTTTATCGCACAAATTGAGATGAAAATAATTAGGTCCTTGATAAAATAACATTATTGGTGTTTTGCAAACAACAGCAAAGACTTTACTAGAAATTAATCTTTTCGTTTTACTGAAATATAATCATTTGAGAAAATACCCATAACGATGGAAATTAACATAACACGTTTGGAAATTCGTTTTATCTTTATTTGAAAAAAAAACAAGTGTTAATGTGACTATGATAAATTTGGAAATAAATCTAATCGGGTATAATTTTTTGTTAAAACTAAAAACACCAAAAACAAAAAACAGTAGAAAAAAAGTTGTATTAAACTTAAACACACTCATTTACTTTGTTTGCATGTTGCGTCAATGAAGTGACAATACTAGACGCATATTACTCACGTTTTCTACATTTTTACAAATAATGCAAATATAAAATTATAAAAAACTACTTAATTAAACGATTAAACATACGTCAATGTAAATGGCATTTGCTTTCTTTATAGATAGAAACATATATAATAGAATAACAGCAGTAATACTGGGTAACTATTAATGTTTGTAACAAAAAATCTATTGGCGACACTGGTAATCCTTCTAATTTCTTATATCAGAATGTTCCAAGTGACGGTTAAATCAGTCACCCGTCGCAAACGAATGACAATTGCTGTTTACATTTGAAAGTTAAGGTTGCCAAACTAAAATTTTACATTTGATACCAACTTGAGAGAAAAAAATCACAATCATTTACAGTAACCGGGTATCATTTAAACATATCAAACCGATTTTACGTCAGAAGAATAATTGATGTCGTAATTACAGTAATTAATTAACTGTTCTACTACTTATTATATGAATTACTTACACTAATTTCCTGAGGAAAGTTTTACCTCAAAGCATTTACCATTTTTACCTCAAACTCTACTACAGTTTTTTAGTATTTCATGATCCTCAACATTAACGAAATAAATACTTAATTAAATATTGCTCAAACTTAACTTAAAAAATTATTATTCTTTAATTAAAACATTAAAATAAACATTTTCTCAATTTACGACCCAATAACTTGTTACCATTGTTCGTTTTTATTTCTTAGTTGTAAGATATTTTATTGAGAGTAGTTAAAAAAATGTTGGGCGTCCGAATTGCGATAAAATAAAATGCGTGAAGTTTATGCAAAATAGTAAAATTTTAATCTAGACTTTAAGTGACAGTTATAAAAATTAGCGGACACTTGCACTTAGTAGTAGACATTTTTTAACATATATGAGTTCAAACGTCTTCAAATACGTCTGTTTTAACCTTTCCCAGCACTTATTATGTAATGTTTCCACAAAAAAGCTAGGTAAATTTGCAATAAATACGCAATTCCAGAATTTTTTTAAGTAAATATTTTATGCAATAGATAGTTTCCAACATCCAAGTACTTAATTAAAAATAATTTGACCCACAGAAATTGTAGTCATTAGGAGAAAATTGGTATTTATCGTTATGTCCTAGTTTGTGTTTTAATTTGTTTTTTAACTTTAAGAATTAAAAAGTAGTAAAACAAAAAATGCCATAAAAATCGGCACTTGTTATGTGTTTTATTAGTTTCTCAATTTAAACATGTAAATATTTTTATTTGTTGTACTTTTTAAAATTAGCGCCTCACTTTAGCCAACACAAAATCCAAATGTAACCAACTGTCACAAAACCCCCTAAATTAACGTCAGTGAAAATCTAAACAAGGTTCAAGGTTAGTGTTCGTACCTGTCAAAATAAATAAATAAATAAAATAATTTACACCAGGTTGGAGGAATAGCCATGAGTGGAAACGGTTATGGTTATTATTACGCCCCAAGTGCCCAAAATTTTCAAGTGGTCAGTTGACGTGACCTCAATAATTCAACTCAATCTGTGTTTGTTTTTCCTCCAGGACCCTAACCAAAGTTGGAGCGAGTGGTCACTGGAACAGCAGCAATACAACAACAATGCTAGAAACTCAGTACACCCTTTAGGTCACGTGAACAACCACACAAACGCATATGTTGCTCCACATCGTTCTCAGAATATTTACAACAGAAACTACCAGCAGAGAAGGTACCCAAACCAATCATTTCCCGGGGGCCAACAACAGCCCTGGCAGAGAAACAATTACAAAAGACCGCGACCACAAGACTCCCCCCATGATTCTGAACCCAAAAGCAAAACCTCCAAAAAGAAGAAGAAACCTCTGTCACAAAATGTCCCAAGTAAGAAAGATTGGACTTTGGAGGAGGCGGAAATGGCCCTCAATGTAGAAAAAGAGTACAACAAACGGTACAAAAACCATTCACTTATTATTAAATTTCCCGATCAGGAATTAAACCGTGACATTGTCTCGAAATTCCATCCAACTATTGAAAACGTGCACTTTCAACAACCCTCAACCCCCAGATTTTGCTTCGTGACCCTTCAGGTAAGCCCTCAGACGCTAAAACCGTCACTAATACAAACATTTCAAGGAATCCGCCGACGCAGAATCTGTCATAAGTGCTTTAAACAAGATAAAATTCGGCGAAGGTTATTTAACCGCTGAGTACAAGAAAGACCGCGAAGAGGACCAAAACATAGGCCCCGAAGACATCGACCCTTGCACCCTCTACGTCGGCAACCTCGCTCAAGAAATAACAAAAGAAGACATGGTCAAAACCTACCCCCTAAGTCGGCGAATCGACATCGGCTATGCCAAAAAAATGAAATACACACGATACGCTTTTGTCTCGTTCAAAAATGTTAGTGAATCAATCGAAGCCTTCAAGAGAACACACAGCACACAAATGTACTCCAAAAGTCTAATTGTGCGGTTTAGACGACTGCATGGAACTGTAGGAATGCCCGGCGAGTCTAAACCCCAAAGTCCTGCGAAAAAACCCGAACAAACTAACGAAAGACCACCAAGTGAAGTCACTGTTATAGGTGACACAAATTCGGTGCTACACACCGAAGTTGATTTGAGTGTGGTGAAACAGGAAGTGAACAGTTCTGATGATGAATCGATGGGGAACAAAACGTTGCCGAAGGACTACGAACCGCCATATATGGCAGGCTCGATTGATGACGCCTTGGAGCAACACAGACCCATTATTAAGAAGGAAATCAAACGAGAATTTGAAGATGATGATAGTTTGGCTGTTGTACAAAATTCTTCAAGTGATAATTTATCAGGGATGCAACCTAATGGCTCAATAAAAGTTGAAAGTCAATCGTCAACAATAAAACATGAGCGTGACGAGGAAGGTAGTTATGAAATGTTAATTTTTGCACTATTTCAAACATTTTTTTTCAGATGAGTCATCCGATGATGATGATGATACGCCAAGTGATGTGGTAAGTATTTTTTACAGTTTGCTAATTGCTCACTAATAAATCATTTCAGAATTTCAGCAGTCTTTTAAACCAACTAGAAGACCATTCCAATCAGATAGAATCTCTGCGAAAGTCTGTTCTTTAACTTTTATTTATTTAACTTCTGTGTCTGTTTTTACGTATTGTGTTACGGTGAAACGCATTATATTAAATATTTAATTAATTCAAATGTGTATTATTGAAAAATAAAATTCACATTACGGCCATCGTGGGCGAAAACTATCAACAATTTCTAGTGCAAAAAGATAAATATTCTTACGCTACGTTTTTAAACTATAATAAAAGCTTTATTAATGTTACACAAATATAAGCAAAAAATAGAATTTATTCCTTACCACTTTGCAACAAACTCAACGCCTTTGTAAGATTCTCAATTGCGGTTTTAACATCGTCGTAATTGAGGGCCGAAGTCGCGTATTTACAATACTTCTGGGCCTTTTGTATCTGGTCGGGGCCTAGTGCAACTCCTCCTTCGGTGGTCGGGGTTGAGACTAAGGGTTTTGGAGGCTCGGGTGGTACAACTGGAGTCACGGGAGAAGACGCAGGGGCTGGTCCTGTCCCCTCATCGATGGGGAAATCGCGGTAAGGTCTGGGTGAAATAACTAGATTGTTTTGGGTGCTGTCATCTTCACCGTCTTTGGACACATCAATGACGTTCTTCAAGTGATCGTCAGGGCCCCCCGAGGTGGGTTTGTCACCAGATTTGAGACAATTGTGGATGTAAGCTGCCTTCCATTTTGCGTATTTTTTCTTATCGGCTATTTCCTCGGATTGTTCACCAAACTGCTCCAGAATGTCCATTAGGATGCCAGCGGTGTAGAAAGCCTTGATCATGTTCCTAAAAATTCAAATTATTTGGTGTTTTCAACACGTTTTGAGTTACTTGTTGAAGTTTTCAGCCCTGTCTTGGGCGTCAGCAAAGGCAAATAATTGCATGGCGTAATTTTCAATCATAGCCTGTGCCACTGTCTCATTTGTAATTCCCTCAAGTTCGTGATTAGACTTCTTTGTTGACTCTAACCAGTCCATCAAAGCGATTAATAAATTTGAAACTTCTGGGGGTTTTTTGCCCGGAATTAGCTTCATAGCTGACTGGCAAGCATACATACGAGCTAAAACAATCAATCAGGTATTTCTGTGTAAAAAAAAATCGTAATTTCTTACCCCAATAGCTCACAACAATATCACGAGTCTCATGCTCATCGGCCACTTTTAAGACGTGGGCAATGGACTTAATTATGGGCGGAACTGGAGGAAAACCCATTTTCTACATCCAACTCTTCTCCAAAAGCTTCAAATTATTCGTTATCACAAATTTTCAATGTTTTGGTTTGGTGACTAATTTGACATATGTCAAAGTTATTTAATCTACTTCAAGTACTAACGAATTCCATCAAAAAAAACAAAATCAAAAGCAAAAATTCGTAACTTTTTTATCGGAATGTTTCATAAATTGGGTACCTCAAATATTGATTAAAATTATCAATGTTTTGGTGTAGTTAATTTAATTGATTTAATAAATGTCAAAATTATTTCACCTATTTCAAATGAATCGAATTCCACAAATGGAGAATCGGACAAAAAGTGGGGTTATATGAATCACACTAAAATGTTTAATAAATTGGGTAATTTAAGTGTTAATTTCGGGAAATTGGCCCTCAGATCATTAAAACACCCCAAAAGTGCCTCCCCTGGGAGTGATTTGGTGAGATGTATTTCGGTTTTGGCCCCCAAAAGGGGCCTTATGGAATTTTTCGACGATGAGAAGAACTGGGGGGCGACGGAGGTCAAAAGTGGCCGGTCGTGGAACAAAGAAGAGCTGCGACTGAAATCAAACACTGATCTGCATAAACTTTGGTAAAATTTCACAAAATGTGTATTTTTTGCTAAAATTTGTCTCAGGTACGTTTTACTGAAAGAACGCAACATGTTGTTGACCATGGAACAGGAGGCCAAAGACCAAACTCAGTTATTTCCAAGCCCTGAGCGTTTAGACAAAGTTGAGGAGTCGATGGAGAATTTGGAAGCTGTAGTGAGGGAGAGAAACGTTGCTTACCACCAGTTAGAGAGGGGCGAAACGGGCGAAAGGCCGGGGAAAGTGAGAACTGGCCCCCTTGGATTGAAATCCTATGACAAGTACTGTCTCAAGCTATAAAGTATAAACGCTAATCGTTGTTTTGTAGAATGCGTCAGTACACAATACCCCAATTTATGAACAAAAAGCACCGCGAGACGCATGAAGAATATCGCCCCAATAGAGACGCTGAAGATTTCTTATTAAAATACAGAGAAAAACTCTATTTGACTAAGAGGAGACAACAAAGGCGGGATTTCAACCACGTTGTTGGCTTGCTCAATAGATTCCCAAATATGGACATGCAAGCTCTTAAAGAACAATACCCCGATGTTGACATAGAAAAAGCCAAAGCTAGTAGAAAACACAGAGGCCACTTTATCCCAAAATAACGTAAAATATGTTTGAAATAAAATTCAGTTTAATTGGTTTTATTGAGTATTAAGGACTACATCATTTAGTACAGTGAAGTTAATATCTGAGCAAAAAATACTTAGGTAAGTTGGAATCAAATTAATTATCACTACATCACAATTGAACCGTTAACAAATTTTAAATAATGTTCAACAGCACCAAATTATTCCTAACTGAAGCACCATTCAAGACACCGGGTGACTATTAATGTTTGTGACAAAATACCTATTGGCAACACTGAATTATTGCCATTTGCCTATAAAAGTTTCAGTTTGAAAGTCAAGGTTGCCAAACTAGAATTTTAAATTTGACACCAACTTGAGATAAATCATAATCATTTAGTCACCGGGTACATGGGGTAACAATATCTTCAAATTGAGAAAAACGGATTATGTTCAATATCAATCCCTTTAAATATTTTACTTTGGCTTTAAGATTTGGACAATTCTAAATTCAAACGGTAACAAAATATCACAGTTCTTCTAAAACTCCAAACAAAACCGATTAAAATTACCAAATCTCAGCCAAAAGAGTGACATTTATTACCATGCTACTATTAACTAAGCTGTGCTTTGTCTACATGTGCATTACAGCAAGCATTGATACAAAAACTATTTCAGTATCTATCACATTTGTATATCAATCAATAAATAAAAGAAAAATGACTAGAAAATTAAAATAAACTTGGAATTGCCTAGAAAAATATATCAAGCGGCCATATATACAGTTAAAAAAACTGAAATAAAGCAATAAATTACAGAAACTGTAAATGTACACTATTAGACGGCCAGAGTTGTTTCAAAGAAGTATAAATATCCACACATTTCTTGCTCAAGGGGTCGCTTTCCGGGATAGTACTCAACGGGAAACTATCTCCCTGTAAAGCACAATTATTTCCTATTTCAAAAATCACCCCAAACTACTCACATTTTCATTATTGTAAGTCCAAAGAACCTCCAAAGTTGATATAAAATTCTCAAGCTCGACATTCGTCGCAAAATATAAAATCCAATCGCCGCTACACTCGTGCACCTCTCTGCACGAAAACTCCTAAGCATACGAATTAATCACGGAGATTACACAGAAACAACTGACTTACCAAAACACACCAACTCTGCTCAGCGGAAGGCAACCGAAACGCCACCAAATCGCTTATCGCAGCACATGACAAAACTTGAGGGCCTTTAATCGGCTGGTGCTGGTTTTTCGGGGGCAACAGCGACGAAACCGTGCACGGAAAAGCCTCCCTCACCGTCAAAATGTGGTCACTCGTCATCAAAAGCGAACACGATTGAGTCAACATTTTCTCTTTCTGGTTGTAGCCCTACAGGTAATTTAAAGCTCTGGTCAAGTGCCCGCGAATTTGAAATTAAGTTGGCAAACCTTACAATCAGTTACATGATTGACACTAGTGATTTATTTGGTTATTTTTATGTAAAATGCAACACAAATATTGGTGAAAAAGTGACTCTGACAGTATGTCTCAATGTTGCCAACTTAATTCCAAAGTCACAGCCTACTTACCCCGCTCGCTGCGTGTACTAAATATTGCAACCAATCACTGGCGACGTACTCGTCGGGGGCTGCCAGATGCAGACTTTTCCCTTCGACGATTAACTGGAATGTATGTGGTCGAGGACAGTTGAAGACGCGTCGAGCCCCCTGACATGAGCCATTTATTAGGGGAAAAACACGCATTGGAACCCTTTGGGAGGCCGATGATAGCATATAAAGAACACCAGCCCTACATTTGCTCTTTAGTAACTAATTGAAAAAAAATTCACAAAATTTTACTTAAGTATAAAGTAGGCGGTTTCCCATCGTGCCTCACTGTCGGACGTTTTGAACATCAAAGGACCCTCCTTGTTGGGACCCAAAGGAGTTACCTCCGGTATATCCGGATTAAAATCTTGAATGTTTACGATGCTATAATAAAAATATTCCTCCTCCTACAAGCAAAAATATAAATTTGGTAACAAGTGTCAAGGGTGCTCTGAAATATGAACCTATGTCTTGAATACCTCATTTGTTAAATTTGATATTTTTTGACACCTCTCGTTAAATATTCATTAAAACCAATTCTTTCTAAAGAAAAGCACTAAGTACTTTGAATAATTTAATATTTTAATAAATATAACTAGGCAGGACACACGTTCATGGAATTTTCATAGCACTTTTGGCCACTTGTTATACCGGGTGACTTTAATGCTTGTAAAAAATCTATTGGCAACGCTGAATTACTAAATTTGGAGCCAGATTATAAAAACAGTCATTTAGTCACTCGGTGAGGAAAAATACCTTGTCGACTGAAGTTTGTTTGCAAATCGCTCTTCTCAAATTCCCCATATCCCTCATACTGAGATGTTTGACAGCTGGTAATCGTGGTTTGCTCATATCACGTCTCATTGCTACTTCAAGTTGCCCCACAATATCACCGGTTATTTTTCCACACCCCGTTGTAATAATACATTGCATGTCTTTATCGTAATTTGATAAATGTATAGTTTGTTCACTTGGCCCTATTAGAATCGTATTGAGCTCATTATATGGCAGAACAAAATGATTGCAAAGCGAATTTCCCATTTTGATTCCTGTTATGTAGAGAGTTGTATCGCTTAGGATCAAAAGCAGAGGTTTGCTCTCGCCATTCGTGGCATAAGCGCTGCGTACGGGAAAAACCCGCAAAAGGCATTCCATTCTACTTCTGAAAATCTCCTTTTTCAACTGCATCGCAAACTTTTGATCGACCACATCCGAATTTTTACACGTTTCCATCCCTTTTAGAATCTCCCGTTCCAAGGCCTCATCCACCTCATCCCGCCCCTTGTACTCAAACTGGACCCCTTTCACATACAACCCCATGTACTTGCGACAACTCTTCTGCTTATTCTGCGCTTTCGCATCTAACATTTTCTTCAAAGTGACGTTGCGCAAAAATCGATTTATGAGCGAGGATTTCGAAGTGGCCGGTTTTAAATTTTGCAAACTTTTACCCAAACCACTCTCCTGCTCACTTGATACTTTAAACGGACTTAATGAGTAATGATTGCTTTTACTCACTCGCCGTTTCGGCGAGTGCAAATGCCGAGTGGGGTTTTCCCCCATGTCCGAAATAGTCTCATTATCAGACCAATCCATTTTCGTGCTTGAAGCATATTTACTGATCGAGTTTTTGGGACTTTTGTATTCGACTTCTTGGACTTCTTCAATACTGTTGCTTTTTTCCGGTACTGGATTCGGGACGATCTCAAAATCGTCCGGTTCCTTTTCCGGTTGTTTAGCCTTCTTACGGAAAAAGTTAAACTCCTTTAAGATCATTTGATACACAGTCGAACTTTTCGGTTTATTTTCCTGCTCGAAAGATTTCTGAAACTTGTCGTATTCGTACGAGTAACTTATCCCTTTGTGCTCGTAAACATTGCTATCACAAACGATAACATTCGCTGGGAGATTCTGATTCGTGGGGTAATTCGGGTAAAACCCCTCGCTTGCCGTCAACTTGAGATTGGTTTTGTTCGTCGGGAGAGGTTTGTCGGTTACAACCGGTTGTGCAACGATCGGTTCAAACGCCAAATTCGTGCAAGATTTGCGCCGGTTCGACTCATAAACCGCAAAGTCTTCTTGCCCCTCCGGGACCCCCCTCTCCGCTAGGGGAACCGACGTCGAAAACGTTAAAATATTCTTCAAACTACCGAAAATATTCGAATCTAGTAGATTACTCTCCGATTTTCGCTTTCGATTCGTTTCTTCTTGGACAATTTTCGTGTCAATTTTCCTCACTTTGGATTTCTTCAAACAACTCGATTTCGGTTGCATCAAAGTCGGCTTTTTCTTTTCGTCGTCTTCATCACTCCCGGTGGAGCTCGACGAAGTTGAGGAGAATCGCGTGTTGCGTTGGCAATACAAGTCCGATTTGGTCTCCCTCTCTGTGGGGGCTTTCTCGTAGTAGGGGGCGTCGCCCTCCGCGGCCCAACTGTACCGCCCCTTGACCACGTCCGGCCTCCGCACAAAGCCCCGCTGGAAGAAGCTGAGCGAGACGTCGGGCTCGTGCGTGATGAAACCATGATTGATGTGAATATCGTCGATTTTCGTACTGTTTAAAATGTCCTCGTGGAAGGAGACTCGCTTCTTGGGGGTGTCCGATTTTGATTTTTTCTTGCGTTGGCGCCGGAAAACGATCTGTTCTTCCGGTTTTTCAACCACTTTCAGGTTTTCGTTCACTTCCTCCGACATGCTGACGTGCATTTGGTCGAGATTTTTGTTTTGAAGGGTGTAGTCGAGGAGCTCATAGCTGTTCAACGAAACATTCATCAAGTCCGAGTCTTTGATCGGATGCTCCATTTCGAACACCTCGTCGCTGAGAGACTTGTTCAAGACCTCTTTTTTCGACTTTTCGAGACATTTCGAGATGCCAGCCTCGAACTTGTCGAAATAATGGTTAAAATTTTGATTGAATTCTTTATTGTCAGGCTTATCGGCGTCGATATCACAGCCAATTCCACTAACGGACATCACGGACGTGATTTCGCTCTCGCTGTCCAACAACTGGACTCCGGAGTCTCCGGGGGAAGCCAAACTCGACGTTGTACTCGATGTCATTTGCAAATCTTGACTGTTTTGGTTTTTGAGCTTTACATCCGGGGTTTTGTGCTTGGAAAAATCGACGATTTCCTCAACTTCCATTGTTGCTAGAACCGGAAAATGTGACACCCTAAATATTGATTTCTTAATGTCTATTCGTACACACAATGGATTCAAACGAGAATGGATGTAGACGGTTAAATATAAAAATGACCTTATTATAGGGACATAAAAACACCCAAAACAGATGCAGCAAAAATAAACAAGCACATATGACTGATGATTCATCAGGTTGCAGGAAAAAAATTGTTACCTTAATATATTGTCCTCGTGGTTTTTCTTGCGGTGGGGTATTAAAGGAGTATCATTTTTGTGACTACATTGCACGTAATAAAGAAAATCATCATTATTTTTGTCAGGGTGCGAAACTAATCACACTTTTGAGCATGCGTTTGCTGTCACTTTGACGTTTTAAAACGTCATTGATATTTAGAGAGAGAAGACAACAATAAATTTAATACGAGTGAGTGAAACAAAAAGTAATTAATAGACTGCATGCAGTACATTTAAAAATTACTGGTTGCCTAAGCTTTGATTTTACAATTTTTATTTTTTTGAACTTTAATGAAAAAGAGTGGAAAGATTCGAAATTAGAAATGTTTTAATTATTTTTAACTTTAGTTTTAAAATTTTTACTGTTTAAAAAAATATATTTTTTTAAATTGTTTTTCAAAAACTAAAAAATTGCTTTTTTTCATTCTTGTTTATTTTATATCTTCGACAATTTTTTGTTAACAATTACATAAGTGAATTAGTACTGCCAACTAGAGCAGTAAAGAAAACTAGACATTGCTCAACCAACCTAACAATTTATCAACTTAGCGGGGATTTTAATATTGTAGTACACCACAGAAAGTAGTCTAATATGTGTAATGTTCTAACTCAGAGTATTATGCCTAGTTTTCTTGGTCATTTTCCTGTGTTCTATGCATTTTTTTTCAACAAAAACCCGTATTTCTACGAAAACATCAAAAACAACGTTGACTTTGACTTTTTACCCTGATTTTTAACCCTAACTTCTATCTCAGATTTTTCAAAGAACATCATTTTTTAGGAAAATGAATGTATTTTCAAGTTCTAGTCTTTGAAATTTGTTTAGTTTGAAAAACAGCTCATTGAAGTCTGTTGAAAAACACAAAAAAATAAGAAAATTACCTATTTTTAGACTAATTTTACCTATTGAAACATCAATTTTTTATACACACTACCATTTTTTATGGCCTTTTTTAAAATATGTGTCATATTTTTTTGACAAAAATAAAGAAAACTACCCTTTTTTATGATTTTTTAAAAATGTGAGCCAGACGTAACAACTGAATCTGTGGTTTTTGTTGAAAAAAAAATGCATAGAACATAGGAAAATGATCAAGAAAGCTACGTATAATAATCTGAGTTAGAACATTACACATATATTTGACTACCTACTTCAGAATTGTTGGTTCCTTAAGCTTACATTCTGCAGATCATAACAATTTTATATATAACTTACTTACCTATAACTTTAAATTAGGTATTATTTAATCGAAGAATTGTTGTTTTTTATTTGGTATTCAGGGAAAATTAAGGCGATTGTTTTTGTCATGTATTTATTATACATATAATACACTGAATATATATTACATATAAAATATATCTCTCATTTTGAGCATAAGAAATTTTTACAAAAATTCTACCTAGAACACTATCTTAAATTCACTAAGTTTTACGTCTTCTACAGGCATACACTTTTAAAATACATGGTAAAAAATGTAACAAATAGTATCTTTTTCATCTATATAATAAATAATTTTCTATTTTTATTTAAGTATACTGTATATTTCCCTTTCATGTTATTTTTAAACTAAGATTCCACATATAAACATGTTTTTGGTGGATGCGCCGGGTTATTTACAGCGCCTCAATTGTTGAAAAATCTTTGATGTGATTTATTACATGTAGGAATAGAAAAAATACAAGCTTAAAATTCAACACTTAATACTGGAGCTGGACAAACCCATTAACACACAAAACATTTGAAACACCCTGTTTAACAGTTATTTTTACACATATTTACAATGCAAACTGAACCTATTTACAGATATTTACACGAGAAAATGGTGGACGTGTGCTGATTTATTTAAACTAGAACTACCAGAAATTTATTGTTACTCTATTGTCATGGTTCGCTAGTGTAGGGAAAAATTGAAAGCTTTGGTTGTTACACTATAAATAAAAAATAAATAAAAACGTATACAAAAAATCACATAATTTGAGACCAAAGCTTATGTTAAAAATACCGCAAAAACGCTGATTAGCTTCGTATTTGTCGCCCGGGGCTTCCCCAGCTCCTGTTTAACACGCAAGTGACTAGACAACGGAGATGACGACTTTGTGGGTGTTGTTGAGGGCGGGCTGCAGCCTAATTGTGTGCCTCAGGGAGGCCGCAGAGCCCGATCGTCGCGTGGAATGGTTCAAAGAGGTGGTGACGGTGCCGCTCGAGTCGCCGCCACCGTAACCGAGACAGTGACCGGAGCCCTGGACTCCGGGGAAACACAACGCGAGGCAGTTGGCTATCCACGAGAACGGTGGCAGCTTTCTGCACGGATCGAAGTTTAAATGTTTTAGTAATGAACAGCATCTACAGAAAAAACTGTGTAAGATGTCTGGTAGGTTAGTCACAGTAGGTGGAACGCTAATCTACACAAAAGGGCCGCTTTCTTCAGCTTACAATTGAAGAGGAAACACGAATAAAAAACATGTTTTTTGTGTAAATATTCCCTGGTGGGGGAAGTGTGAATCAAGAACACGACATGACTTCCGTCTCTTTTAGACATTTGACAGCTTCTGACATTTTTGTATTAAAGTCAGAGTAAGTTGAAAAGAGATAGACATAAGCACGTCATTCGAATTATTAATTAATCCACACACATATTAAAAACACAAACTATACAAGAATTTTGATTTAGCTTTTTGTTATACACAAATCAAAATAATCTTTACCTGATAACAATTGTTACAAGTTTTGCGATAAACAAAGCTATAATTAGTGCGATCGTAACAATGAGAAAATATTATTAAAGCCTCGAAATGAATCACAGTGACAGTGAAAAAAAATCAAGTGTTAAAGTTTGCCAAAGAAAAAACAGTTCTGGATTCCAAAGTGATGCAATTTATGAAGGCAATGAAGATTCTGTTTCTCAACTTTCAGGAGAATACATAACAGTTAATAACGAAGAGAAGAGTCAGCAAACGGAGGAAATGTATGTCGAAATCATTGAAAATAACTTGCAACCCCAATACATAACGGTATTAGAAGGTCCATCTGATACACACATTTCAGTTTCAAGAACACGGAGATTGGAAACAACCAATAAACAACAAAATGTCAAAGAAAACAATTATTTACCTTCTTTAGCAAATCACAAGAAATTATTTCTTGTAGTTCCCATCATAACAATAATAAGTTTTACCTTGTTTTATCTTTTTACTGACAAGCACCATTGATTTATATAAAACTACAAGTTTGACGAAACTGAATTACCAGTAATACAGAGTGTTTCTGCTAAATCTCACATTAAGAGTTTTAGGAGTTCTGATAATGATATTTATCTAAAATATCCGAAAGGATCTGATCAGTTCAACTACTTAGGGTATTTAAAATAACAAAAGCAGGACCTAATCGATTATAGCTGTACAAATTTTTTGATAAATATCATTGTCAGAACTCCCAATAATTTTAATGTGGGATGTAACCGGAACACGCTGTATATCCGCAAATGTGTGATGAATAATATAAATGTACTAACTAATTGACACCAATAAAAAAATTCCAAGTATTAAATGATTAGCTTCATTACCTCCTTAAGTGCTTTAATACGCAAAATTCTGTTAAGAATCTTAATTACAGCTAATTAGCACAAGAAAATTCCATGATGAGACTGAAAATGAATGAAGCCATATTATATTAAATTTTAATTGACGAAGACCAGTTAATCATAATGACATTTACTTATTCCTCCAACATTGTGGTTATTTAATCAAACAAGAAAAAATTAATGGAATATGCGGCATGACTGGGAAAATTTCCAAGCCCGATAATTATTGAAACTCAAATTGATGCAGTTTTAGCTCCATTTCCTGTTGTATTTTTGTGAGAATTCTGCATAACTCTCTTGTTTGTGTTGGCGCGAATTCTCATTGAAAAATTTACAGTTTCCACTCGCTACCGGCAGCTTTAAATTTAGCAAATAGTTATTAGCCTGTCGCTAATTTGAATTTATTTTTACAAAACACCTCGACACAATGTAAACCGAAGAAAATAACACACAGTGAGTCACAATTCCGCGAAATATTGGAGAATTTGAAGCGAAAATCCGGGCTGAAAAGGCCTTTAACGTGTATGCAACTTACCGTAAATTTCGACACAAGTGTGTGGAGAAGAGGCAATAAATTACGGGATTGGCAGCTGAATTCAGTGGTGCCAGGCTTTGAATTAATGTAGCTATGGCAATATTTGTCTGGGTCTTCGGAATGTGGCCATACACTTGAAGCAAGTCAAATACTATATAGGGACTCCAGCACAGCACGAACACTGAAAAAAATGTCTCCAATTGCGGGCACAATAACGAAAAAAGAGTTTTTCAGGAATGAGTGTCTGCAGGATTGTGGCGGAGCTAACGAAATAAACAATGGTAATTAAACGTTGGATTCTCGTTAGTGGATGATAAAGAACATCGTCTACATGTAATAAATTTAACTGTTTCATCAACGAGACTATTTTTAGTTATTCTGTCTGTTACATGAGCTTTTTGTTTCATTTAGGTCGTCTGATTGTTACGTCTCTTAGTTTAACCCTTTTGTGATAATTAATTTAGTTATTTCATTCGAAACAAATGAGGTTCCGAAAAGGGCGAGACACTATCGACGATATATCTAACCTTAATTACATAGTTGGGGGCGAAACGAGAAAAAAAGCAAACTTTACAAATTATTTGACGTAAAAAAAACATCCGATTCTGATAATAATTGTTAATAATAAAAGTCTATTACAAAAGATTAAAACAACAGAATGGAGTCCTCATTTTACAATTATTTTTATATTTATTTGTAAAATATTAATAACTTGTAAATTTGACATTAAAAAAGTGTACTTTGCATTGCACCGTAAAAAAAATATATCTTTGAGAAAAGTAATGATTATTTCTCACTATATTGCGATAAATTAAACAAAAAAATAAAGAACAGTGCTGATGGTCGAATTTCTTTTCTATCAAGCGTTAGGTATGTGAAAAATAAAAATAAATTTTCTTGAAAAGAAAGATAATAGCTAAGTTGTAAGATGGAGATTTTGTATTTGAAAAAAATCTTTTAAAATTTTTGGTTTTAAAAATTATTAAGAAAATGTATACTATTATTATTATTATTACTATTATTATTTTGTAGTAAGAAATTCATCAAAATCGGTTAAGTAGGTACATCTCGAGATATTTTGCCTACAACACATCACTGTTTTTTTTATACAGGTTGAATATAAAGTATGGAACCAAGCGGTTTTATTTTTAATCATTTACCTCCAGAAAATAATAATTAATATAAATTAAAGTAATATAAAAAATCTGATCGTATTTTCAGAACAAAATTTTGTTTTGTTTTTGAGTTGCGATTTTTTTTGTCAAAATTACAATTTATGTGAAAAATTTTTTTTTTAAAAAATTAAATATAAAGCAGGTAGTTGTAATCCTTAGAGTATAGCTTTTATGAGAAAAATGATTTTATAGTGGGTTGCCATTTAAAAAAAAATTTTTTTTTGTAGAACTCAAATACAAAAGCAAATTTCGAAAAATTTTATTCTTGTTAAATCATCACATTTTTATAGTACTTTATCACTCATCAATTTGTTTTTTCAAAAAAAAAAATAGTTTAAGCAAAAAACGTTTGGTTCCATACTTTTTATTCACCTGGTATATTATTTGTTTTTATTCTCGATTATCCCGATTTTACCTAAAAATATTTTGGGATTTTTTTAATATCTCAAGATGGTATAACCCCATAAATATTTTAAATCAACTTATATTTATTTAATTGAAGGAATAAACAACAGAAGAATATAAAAAAATCTTGTATAATCATTAAAAAAAACAATTTCAATTCACTTCTAGCTAAAATTTTGTATCAAAAAAGCTTTAATTTTTTTAACAACAGAGTAAAACTCTGTGCAATCATTTTCTATTATGAAAATTAAAAAATTGACATTCATTTTAACTAATAAAAATAAACAAAGTTCATGAAATTTCACCAAAATAATGCTGAAAGAAAAAAAATAGTAAAAAAGCATTATTTCTATTTTTATTTTATTTTTCATCGAAAAATTTAAATAATGTAAGAGATTGCGCAAAAATAAAACGAACATTAAAAGTAAAATGGATTATCTTCTCCTGATTCTCTAGATTTACAGCACTTTTCACGAAGAAACTCAAAAAATTTGACCAAAACATTTTTTTTAGTCTAGAATAACATATTTGCGTTGATAAAATTATAAAACTCTAAGTAAAACAAAAGTTAATAAAAGCCGTTTATTTTGCACTATTCAAGAGATTCTGGTAGATGAGTACAAAATAAAACGAAATATTATACACGACGATAAAGATTGTTTATCTACTCGCGAAAAAAGTCCACTCGTAACTTCGTCGCTCGTAAACTTAACCTTTTCACTCGTAGATAAACATTTTCTTTATCGTCTTGTATAAAACTTTTTTTTCAAATAATAGTACAAGCAAGAGTTAATCTTTTCTTGACGTCGACCCTTCGGAGCAATTCTCTAGCCCGGGGAACTCAAGGTTTCATAAAATAGCAGGTAAGGGAGTAAAAGGGCAATGCAGTAAAGGGTAAGTGTGTGTTAACTATCTGGAATAGTTATTAAAATCCAGCTGTGCAAATCCCACTTACCAAAAACGATGACGAGAGTCATTTTTACAGTCTTAATTTTAGCACGAGGAATAATTCCCCGCGAGCTAGCACGACGAGTGTCGTGTTCTTCGTGGAAATGACGAGGCGGTCTATCACGATGGTCTTCGCCTGAAAACGTCAATTTTCAGAAAATTTAATTATTTGCGCTTGAGACACACTCACAGTGCCTTATGGGGATGTGCCCCACGGGTATTAAAAGCTTGCTCTTGGACCATATCGTGCGAACGATGACCGCATAGCAAGCACTGATGATAAGAGCGGGAAAAACGAAGAGGACCAGGGCTACAAGGGTTATATAAACCTTCCACTGCCACGTTTGCAGATCTATCCAACATTGCGGTATATCTGGAAGGTATTTTATTAAGCCCTAAATCAAGCTAGAAAAAATTACAAATCATAAAAAATCATTTCCAACTTTTCGAGGGGCCATAATTCATCATAAAACCGTCATAAACTGAGACAATAAATATCGGCGTTCGCTGAATAAGACAACGTATCGATCTCTAAGAGAGAAAATATCGACTCAATGTCTGCTTTTGTCAGACGGATTTAATTAAAATGATGGATTGAAGAATGTGCTCTTGACTGTGTGTTCCATTTCTAACTTCAACTTTATGCAAATTATTAGAAAACTTCGGGATTTCAATTTTATTATCGACAATTTGTTACAACCGTCACGCCAAACTTTCCCTCATATCACAAACTTTGCGGCCTATTTCACAATACTGCGAATGTGAAGACACCAGGAGCTCTACAAGCCAAACTACGAAAGGTCCTAACACAGAACTCGACCGTTTGGAGGTATAGGGAAAATAAATGTTAATATAATAACAGAATTACAACAAGCTATTTAGAAGAAAAGAAAAAAAATATTTCAAATTAAAAAAAAACTGCTAAAGAAGTTAGGAATATATTTGCCATAAAAAAAATATTAATCAAGATCTAAATGAATTTTTCTTATTGTCTAAAAGCATTGGTTTGAATTTAAATTCGAGTATTATTATTATTATTAACATAAAAAAAAATACATAAGCAAATCTGAAAGGTTTTATGTTTGAAAAAGAACCATAATTATTTTTAACAAATACAAAGGCATTTATTGCTAAAAGAAGTTTCTTATTTTATAATCTGGACACATTTTTGGCATGATATAAGGAAAAATTCTGAATAATAAATCATTGTTTTACACAATGATGTTTATTTTTCTTTTTAATATTACTATTAAAATGTTACCTACACGTTGTGTATAATAAGAGTATACTTTTTGTAAATGTGAAACTAAAGTTATCGTTATTATTATAACCATTTTATTTTAATTTGTGCTACCTATATTTCTTTAATTTATAGAAATTGTTAGTATACTTTTCACAAAACATTTTTATTTTTAAAAGTATACAATTTTTTCATTTCTGTTTTGTTCTACAAAATTTTTTTGAAGGAAAAGTAAATGGTATGACTTAGTTCATGTAGTTTTATTACTGGTGGTTTATTGTGCTGTCAATCAATCACTAGGTTTTGCTTCATGTCACCTACAACCGCATTTTTTTTTATCAAAATCCCTTTAATAAATCATCTCAAAAAATATCAAACATGTTGACATTTCCAGACATGCAAACATAATCCTTGACAGGATTCTCCTTGAAACGCTCTCAGCTAATCAGTTTTGGCTTTAAAAAAAATGCAAAACGACACCAAGAAAATCCCGCTTTTTTTCAATTAAAAATCCCTTGAGCAATTTGTCTGAAATTAATCCTAAATAGCAAGGACTGAGATTCCAGACATCGTTTCAGCCGCGGCTTAACTCGATTAACATCACATTTTGACTCGTCAATCGTCTTACTTTGAACGGGTTTTTCCTCAAAAAGGAAAACTGTAGGTAAGGAAAACAGAATACTAAGAAGCCACGCCAAGACGACTAAAAGCCTCGCTCGCTTCCCTGAAACAAAGAAAAAGAACAGTAAATATCAACATTGTATCATCGTAAAAACGTCTCAATTTTAATAATCAAAAAATTTAATTTTGCACTTGTATTTACAGTAATTGAATTGTTGATGGAGCTTTTGTCGTAAAAGCTGAACATTTCGTCGGGAATTCACACACTAAAATGAAAATTGAATGACAGCCCCGGAAAAGTCGGCCCGATTGCGGGAAATTAACATTTCCACTAAAAATCCTGAATTTTTCATTTTAGGTAATTGAAGTGCACTTTACAGCTTTCAGATTAAAATTACCAGGCTGCAAAATAAAAGTTTTATTACTCGACTAAAGCACATAATTTGGAGGGTCTTAAAGAAGGCTTTTAGTACTGTGTTTCATGATGTTGATTACATTATTTCAGGCAAGGAAACGCAAAAATAAAAAACATTTCTAAAAAATTACTTGTGAAACTAAATCTAAACGTTTTAGTTAAATGCGCCCGAATCCGGTATCGTGTTTCCCCGGAATTGTTACACTTTGAAGCGCAGCACTCCATTAAAAGACAATGATGGAGGTGTAAACCGGCGCTTTGTAACTGAATAATTCTGTTATCAACGATACAGCTCATGCGTTTCATACAAATTCAATCAAAAAATAAGGTCAAAGAACGAGAGGTCACGCAAAAATAAATAAACCGATTGTTTGAGATGAAAGTCTTCACGCGTTTTTTACTTAAACATGCCAATCATCGCACCAAATAAGGGCTTCATGTAGTCTTACACAATTTTCTAATTGAGCAACATGAGAAGTTTCCATTGTTGAAATTTCTCAAATTACAATTACTGAAATATTTGGTTTGAAAACACAATTCTTCTGATTGTGTCATCGCAGCTTTATGGGTTCACTGGTCTCATCGCAAATATGTTGTAACTTCAATTTTTCAAGAGATTTCAGTTTATCGGTATGGCATTTGTCGCTTCACTAATAAAATTTCAGTGTCAAGTAGCGGGAATTTATACAAAAGCTGTAAAAAAGCGCTTATGATGTGATGTATTGAACTTTTATTCACTGTCTGGGACAAAAAGAAAAATTTTATAGTCGTTTCGTTTATCCTTTTAATGACATACTTAATTCGACATTTAGTAATGTTCTCGACAAATTTTATGAATGCAAATGTTTATGTACCGATTTGACTTTATTACTAATAAACACACTTTTAAAAATAAAAATATGTTTTTAGAAATTAAACTTGAAATGATATACGACATCCTGTCTCACTACAAAAGCAATAAAACTTTACTACAATTATCTACAGTAGAAGGAAATTGAAAATTTTACTATTTTAATGATGATTAGTTCCTGAAACAAAAATATGGAAAAGTCCTCTGGCAAAGTTTAGATAACACAACACGAGTTTTGATTTTTGTAAAATCTTAAGTGATCCTATGATTTTTCGGTGAATATAAAATTCTTCAAATAAAATATGGCTTGTTTTAGACTATATTCAAAATGGTTAATGTTTTAAACTATAATATGTTATCATGTTCCAGGAAGTCAATTGGCGTAAAGAAAACTGTAAAATTCGCATAGTCGAGTTTTAGATATTTTTGACTATACCAGCAATTTTCTCGACAACTGTTTATCGTAAAACAATGATTTTTTATTATAATTTAGAAAATTAAAAGTGTATTCCAACGGTACTATCGTAAACATAAAATACTACCACTAACAATTCCGGAGTTATTGGCGACCGGAAATCGACCAAAATATCGACAAAAATAACTTTTCAACTTAAAAATTAAACTAAATAAAGTTTTTTTCATTTCTGAAAGTCCTAAAGACTCAAAAAAGTGTATTTTATGTACCTATACCATAACAATTTTACGTACTATTTTATTGAGCAAAAACAGTGTCTTTTAAGTGAAACTTTTTCTTGTTATTTGTGGTCATTGTGTTTGGTCCTCTAAAAAAACTCAATTAAAAGAAAAAAGGTTAAAAAATGTAATGACCAAATTAAAGATTTTTTTAAAATGTTGTCGAAGAATGAAGGTACTTTCAAAGCAATTCATTTAATTAACACAAAACAATAAATTAATATGTTAATTATTAGACTACCCATTTTATTTTTTATTTTATGTTCTGAATAAAATTATTATAATTATTATTTTCATTAATTTTGAATTTTCTAAAGTTGGTCACCTTAAATTATATGCAATTACAACCCACATCCAAAAATAATTTATATCTCTCCTGTCTTGAATTAAAAATTAATTAATTAACGCCTAATTGGGTCCAGTGATAAAATAAATTAATTTCTCTTTTCACCTCGGTGAAAAAAACATGTAAATGACTCGTAGAGGATGTGATAATACTCACAACTCCCGGAGAAGTTCATGGGATGAGTGATGGCGTCGTAGCGGTCGATGGAGAGGGCGACGAGGACATAAGTCGAGGAATATGTTACCACGGCTTGAAGGAAACGTATAATTTTGCAAAGGACATTTCCAGCATGCCAAGCCACTGTTATCCTCCAAGCGATGTCCGTCGACACGTTAATTAAGCCTACTGCTAAATCTGAAACAAAGTTTACTTACAAAACTCTCAACTCGGGAGTATAATAGACGAAAGGGACAGTCGAGTGGCTTGGCCTAAATTTTCACTACTAAGACATCAAAGAAGTGTTTATTTTGTAAAGTGATAGGGATTTTATGGATCATTACCGATAAGTCTTAACCCACTTGAGGTGAGTGCTTGTTTATCAAATTTTTATTTGAACAAAAATAAACGCAGGCGAGGTTTAAGACCGACAATTTTTAAGTAGCTTTGACTACTGTAAACACGGAAATTTAAAAAATTAATGATTTAAATTCCGAAATTTATGTCCCTCATTCGGTAATGTGAAATAAAATTCTTTTTACGATTTTTATATTGACAATTAATTGATTGATCAAAATATTTGGCCTCTAGCATAATGTTTGAGTTTTGGATGGGAAGCCAATGACTTTTACTGCCGTTTTATTACCACTAGTGAATTTAAAAACTTAATTTATTTAAATGTGAATTTTATTATTGAAAACAAGAAGCTCTAAAATATTTTCAGTATTTTTTTGGTTTCTAAGAATAAGCATAAACCTTCCAAATTTCATAAAAATAACTTGAATCAGAAACTTTTTTGTCTCTTGCAAAATAATTATTAAACACAATAGTGGCTCACTTCAGGTAATTTTAAATTGCAAAACATTAAAAACACATTGCGCCGAAGAAAATTCTTTCGCAAGAAAATTCGTATCAATATGAAAAGATTTTTTTTATTATAACCATAAGAAGGTGAGTTTACACTCGTCCAATAAAAAATACAAGAATTACAAGTGACATTCACATAGCTTTGCATATTTTTCGTCAGAATCTAACTCCTCGAGGGATTTTACGTGGACATAAATCATATTCGAGTCGTTCTGGTTTTTAGTTTTCCCTCTGCTCAATTTTTTATTCGTCTAACCTCAAAAATTATTGAAATTAATTTTAAATTATTGCAAATTGTCGTTCTTATCAGGCGGATTTTTTCATGTAAACAAACCCTCGAAAAACTGCAATAAAACCGAGTGAAAATGTTGTTAAACTTAAGCTTTTCTGATCTGGAAGATAGTAAGTTGTCGGCTTATCAGCAATCTAACAGCCAGTTAAAGCGAATGCACTGGCTAAGGAGAAATTTATTTGTTCTCTATTGGACGCAAATAAGTGTGCATCCTGTATGTAAGTGCCAAGGCGTAATTTTGGCGGATGCGCTTGGGAATAAATTGGAAAAATCAAGCGATTGTGCGAAATCGATCTCTAACTAGTTTATTCGGACAATAAAACACAAACTGGTCCGGGCATTTACGACAACATTCTAAAATTAGGAAATAAGAACGAAGGAAGTTTACTTACCCGCAATGGCAAGCTGGCGGATGAAGAAATTCATTCTAGATTTTCGACTTTTGCTAACGAGGAGGGCAACTAAAACGGCGGAATTACCCAAGACGATCATTGTAAACAGCACCCACAGCACGGTGAACTGCTCGGCCTGGAACAACATACCACACTTACCCAAAACTTCACCTGAGCTTTTATCCCAATTACCACAAAAGGATTCCAACTTTTTTTTAATTAAATTTCCACGCCTTCGGAACAAAGACAACTTTGAAAATTTGCGGAGACAGTAAGTTAATTAAAAACCTCGCGGAATATTCAAATTTGACTTACGGTAAAAGTATTTTTCTTTACAGTTTCCGATTTACAAACTAAATCAAATATGGTGAGAAACTGATATCTGTTTGATCTTCTCCCGCATGCTGCAACGCAATTCCGTGCAAACTTTGAGTTTTATTCTACTTTTTAAAGTCAATAAACATTGATTTGAACATTAGTACTTTGAAACAAAAATCACAATTATTTTTCTATCAAAAAAGTTGAAATAAAATATACAGTATGATGAAGAAAAGGCGCCCGTGTTAACCTACACGTTATAAGTGATCTTTTATTAAAGAGGAATTCGAAGACCAAAATTGGATTTGTGCTCTTATCAGTAACATACCAGGTGAATAAAAAGTATGGAACCAAACATTTTTTGCTTAAACTATTTATTTTTTGAAAAAACTAATTGATGAGTGATAAAGTACTATAAAAATGTGAGAATTTAGCAAGAATAAAATTTTTCGAAATTTCCTTTTGTTTTTGAGTTCTACAAAAAAAATTTTTTTTTAAATGGCAACCCACTATAAAATCATTTTTCTTATAAAAGCTATACTCTAAGGATTACAACTATCCGCTTTATATTTAATTTTTGTAAAAAAATTTTTACATATAAATTGCAAATTTTGACAAAAAAAATGGCATAATTCAAAAACAAAACAAAATTTCGTTCTGAAAATACGGTCACATTTTTTATATTACTTTACTTTATATTAATTATTATTTGCTGGAGGCAAATGATTAAAAATAAAACCGCTTGGTTCCATACTTTATATTCACCCTGTATAGACTTTCCTTTTTAGAAAAGAGAAATCTAAATAATTAACAGGTTTAAAATAATTTCATTGTTAAAGTCTAGATTTTGATACAGTTGACGGTGTTAAAAGTCTATTGAAACTTTATTGAAGATGTTAGGATACCATTTCTTGGCTCCAAAGAAAATTGATCAATGTTGCAACATTGCAAATATCCTAGGATACAGAAAATGTCCAAATAGTATTCAATTATTGGAAACGGTAGCAACAAAAAAATCAATTTTCAATGTTGTTTGTTCTGTGAAATTAGAACGATTAAAGTCAAAAAGCCAAAGATTAAAAAAATTAATTGAAATCATTAGATACCTTTTGATCGTATCGTATTGGAATAATAAAATTATGTAAACTTTACAGTTTTTTATTTTATGCGGGTGACAATATCTGTCAGTACTGGTTTCCTAGATACGAAAAATACCTGAGTGAAATAGTTTTTTAGTAAAAGAAAATTGTGCAATATTGCCGCTTTGTGCTGTTAGACAAACTGTTTAAATTTTAAAAAGAATCTATTTAGACTATTTTAGGAATGATGGTCACAATGTTTCAATAAAAAAGGACGCGCCTGTTTCAATCGTGGGCGCCTTTTTTTCATCACCCTGTATACGCGTGGTTATATCGCTCATAAATAACTATTCTTATATTTTTCTTATATAACTTTTTGCATAAAATTTATTAAGGAGCTGTAGGTCATAAAAATCTTATAAAAATTACAATTTTATTTACATAATATTATAGTGAATAAAATTTTGTTTTAATTTGGTGGCAAATATACCAGTTTGAGGACACAGTTTCCTTCGAACATAAAACAGATATGTTGGACACAAGTGACAAACAAAACTTTGTATATTCACATCTGACAGACTCATGTGAATCTGAGATAAAAACAATTTTTGGGATTTTGACAAATATTTCTTCTGGTGGCAGTTTATAATTATTTTTTCCAAAAATAAATACTGCTGGTATGTCTGTATAAAACAGAATTTAATTAAACATTTGTTTGATAAAAAGCCACCTCAAAACATCCAAGCTTTTCTTGTCACACTTTTCCGCAAAGACGTTTACATATGTAGCACCCATTCAAAGCAATCCACAGCTTCTCGAATTTCAAAACATCGATTTTCGCACTTTACACAGGGAAATGGTGGAGTTTTGTTGCTTTTTTAACAAAAGTAGAGAATTCATAGTTGCTTTTATTGCATATTCTGGAAGAGTAAAATTACATTATGGAAACTGCATTCAATTCAATAATGTGTAATTTCAGGAATTCCAGACACACAGAACTGTGATATTGTGTTTTTGACTTGCAAAACAAAAAACAAAATTGTTATGGAAATTGAATGGAATTTATTGATGTATGCACATCAGTGTTTGCTTTATGAATTTATGCCCTAATAATTGCATTTAATGAAAATAGTTTCAAAATAATTGTTTGTCGTCTATTGAAACAGAAAGTGCTACAAATATGAACTTTACAATGCCACACTTTTGTGGCAAAACAAAGTTTCAATGAGTAAAGTTAGTTGAAGTTTCACTACTATGTATTCATTTATACAGTGAGCACGGGCCACTTTTGTGCGAACAAACTAATTTCTGTAGTCTTTCCTGAAAATTGTGTTTAAATCAAGGCAAACCAGACCAATCAGATTCGGTCCGTCGGTTAGTTCGCTCTCTTAGCTTTTAGCTTTCAGACTTGGGCCCTGAAAGCGTTCAAAAATCAATTTTGTGTCTGAAATTAGCGCAATTTTCGTTGCATTAAATCCAATATTGCGTCTGAAGTCAATCTTGTGGTTAATTTTGTGTGGTTAAGAAGATTCCTGTCGTAATCGATATCTCGGCGTCTGTTTATAATTGGACAATTGCGTCTGAAAAAATCTAACACGCGAAATGGCAGTGTAATAAAATTTGTGAGGCTATCTTTCCGCGACATTAAACTGTATTTCAGTCAACATTTCCTACGCGGCCTCGATTTACGACTCGTAAAATCAGTTGCGAATATCTGATATTTGGCGAATGACAATCTGCAACTTTCTTCCAGCTTGTCACGGTCAGTTTTCCCGGAAAAAGGTGAATGCACCAAACGAGATTACTTTTCAAACAAACAACTTAATCATTGGATTTTCACAATCCATTACTTTAAATGTCCCAACTAATTTCATTATAATTACGGACATATTTTTAATGAAGTCCTAAAAACGGGAAAATAGGCCGAGCAAATTTCACCCTCACGACTCCAGTTCTCATTTTCAACGTTTAATTTTAATTGTAGGGAAGCAATTACAGGTTAGCTTATTAGCGAAATTACAGTGTATTAAACAAGGGTGATTTATGACCAAATTCTATCACAGAGCGAGCGGTAGAAGTCTAAAATTAATATAATAATAATTACGCCATTTGTTAAAATAATATTCAAATGATAATTACGCCCAAGAGCTAAATAGTAAAATTTCTAGATTGAAACAGTTATTATTACTGCCTGAACATATGCCCAACCTGCTATTAAGTTCTGGCTCATGGTAATTATCCTTAGTTTTATAACAGTCACATTTCCGGGCATAAAGTTTGCAGTTCAGAATTATGTGCAGAAAATCAGACATTCAAAGCGTCTTACTCTACAAACCACCAGTTGCTGAATTTTTTTACAAAATTTCAGGTGGTTGAAGTTTGAGTTGAAGTTTTGTGACCAAAATAGCACCACTAATAAGATCCAATTTGAATAACCAATCCTTTCTGTAATTTTGCCCAACAAGATCGAGTTGAAAGCGGTCTATAATCATCACGACTACACCTCTATTAATTAATTTGTTTGAATGAAGGAAATTGCTCTTTCGGAGATTCGCAGAGTAATAACTTCGTGAAGCTGATTGGCTTACAATTCAGAACCTAATTCTCGATTTTATCAACGAAACTAAAGCAACATTTGCTCAAAATTTATGCGTGACTATCTCCAGAATAGTGCAAACAAAAGTCAAGAGCTAGTGACGCAATTCCATGTGAAATATTATGTTTTTTATTTTATGTTTTTAAACAACACAATGTATTAATGTATCCGCAAACGTCACAAAAGTGACTTTTATGACAAAATGTTACAAGTAAAAGCTTTACGTTTTAGCCATGGAGTAAATATAGTATTTTTGTTACTTTTACAATGATGACATTATTGACATTTACCAATGTTGTTTCTTTCTTGTCCCTTTCGCTGCTTCAACCATTTCTGGAGAAGTAGTTAAATTAATAAACACTTTCAAATCGTCAACAAAAATTCCGATACTGACGTGTGATGTTTCTTTATAAGCGTTGTTATGATTTCTTTACTTGTAAAGGGTCCTGATTATTTTGTTCATTTACTTGCTAATTATAGTGTTGCTCTTTACTTCCGATCTGAATACGTTTGCGGATAAAATAGTGTATGTTATTCGGAGTAAAAGTGAGTTTATTTGTGTATTTGTTCAGCTTCACTTTTTTTCATACTTACTTGGGCATACTATTTTATTTCTTTTAAATGTCCTCTATGAAAGTGAAATAAAATGTGGTCCATCTCTCCCGGACTTACCCTATTTCAGAATAGTGCAACAGTTGTGAGAAATTTTATTGCGTTGTATTGATTGCGTGAAGTTCCGAACTCCTAAACCTAGGTTTGTGTAAATTTAAGATTTGTTGGCTCTCACAATGCAAGCAAATAAGCTTAGTGGGTTGAAATTATGAGCTTGCAGAAACGAAAACCCTCAAGCACACGGAGATAGCAGTCCCTTTTCTCGGTTTAGTGACTTATTTGAGCAAAAGGAGCAAACTATTTCAGTGAGCTAAATGGCTTCTTTCAGAAATAACTAATTGTGTGATTAGTAGTATTGCTATTTCAGGATTTCAGTATACGACACATTTATTTTACTCTTATTATATTTTTATCCAAGATCAGCAAAAGATCGAATTTGCTCAACCTTAAATTATTATTTTATTGTCGTTTTCGTGCCAGCAAGTCGAATAATCCGCCCTTGAAACGACTAGGACTCATTTCAGTTTTCTT